AACAAAAACAAACAAATAAGGGCTAGTGCAGGTAGCATCGTGGGGGGGTGGGAAACCACTCCCTCCACCCACTTGAATTTGGGCAACACTACGGGGCCAGCCTCTTTCCATTATTCAAAAAAAAAAAAAACAAAAACAAAAACAAAAACAAACAGAAAAAAACAAAGACCTAGGAAATCTCTAAAATCTCGGTTGAGACCACTTGCTCCCTGTGTAACCACCAACGCATAATGTTCTGTTGAAGATTAGGTGTTCTTCCTGTTTCAGATCTTACCCTCCCCTTAAAATTCTCTGGAAGCAGCCTCTTATGCTGATTGTATAGTAAATATGCTGTAGCTGCTGGGCAGTCCTTTCTCCCATCAGGAGAGGGGCTCCACCTGACCTCAGCTTTGTGCATCTTGACTCTGGTCTTCATTTCTTCATCTGCCACTGTTCCCCCTCTGGAATTTCAAGAGCTGCGCTGGATGTGGAAGATCTCCAGGCCAGAACATGAGCATGTTATATCTCGAGGCCTGACCTTCAGCAAGCTCTTCCCCAGGTGAACCTTACGAAAGGTTTATAAATATGGACTGCATCTCATACATGTGATTTAATCAGACTGAACTCTGGGACATACAAGCTTGTTCAAAGTCCCTGAGGTAACTCAGCACCCTGTCAATCATTCCTTCCAGAGGTCCCTAGGCTGGGGTGCACATCTTTTAAATCCAAAAGATGATTTATCCATGTGCTTTTTATTTTTCTGTCACCCCAAATCACTTTTCTGTTCATACCACCCTTTTTGTTTCTGCTGTCAGGGACCTGCCCTGAACATATCTTCCCATAACTACAATAAATGAAGCTACTTTTTCTTTTATCATTGGATGTACACAAGCAACTGGACTGTTGGACCCAGTTATCAGGGCCAGTTCAATAAATTATGGTATACTCACAAAATGGCAAACTCTGTCATTGTTTTTAAAAGTTTAACATGTTTTCAAGGTGCTACAATTTGTATGTCTCACTGGCTTTATTTGAACTCAACTGCCCCATGGGCTTGAACAACTGGTAGTATACGCGTGACTACTTGAAAATATGGGTGTTGCTGTAGCTGTAAAAATAAGCCAAACACATTTTTTGTGTACTTTGCACAAATCAGCCCCCTTATCTATGTTTAAAAGAAATTCACAAATAGAAATTTCTTTTAATTTAATGAAATAATTTGATTACTGTAACTGATATAGGGATATAGGACCTCCAAATAATCCAAACAATACAAAGGAGATAGGTAACTCTCAACTTTTAGATGTCCAATATGCCGAGTACGCGTTCCCCAAAATCGAAGAACGAATTTTAAGGAACAGAGGTTAAGAGTGGGAAATATTTACTGGGGGGAAGGAAGCTTTGATCTAAGAGAGACAGGAGGGGGGCCCAGGAGATGGGCTACCCACAAGCCCACTTCTCAGGGGAAGCTTTATGGAGTAAAATGACACGAGGTGGGTATAAAGTGGAACAAAACTGAGGTCAACCAATCAGATTACAAATGTAGTCGCTTAGGCAATACGGATCCAATGGGGAAGCAAGTCAGGTAGTAAGCACACCTGGAATGAACAAAGACTTTTCCTGGAGGGAATGGGCCAGGACTGTTTGGAATATTAATCATTACTGTTTATCCCTAGCGGGGAGACGTAGGTATAGTATTCTATCTTTTGTCTTGAGGTCTGCCCTCCAACCACTGGGCCTGTACCCACCGTTGTAATGTATTCTCATCTTCTGCATTGGCTCCCTTGACGGCCTAGCCCTGTCTGATTGCCTATAATATTTTCAACTAACTTAGCTGTCTATAACATAATTTTTTAATTGGGGTGAATAGTATTAATATTTATATTTGGGCAGTAATTATTCAAATTCAAGCAACTAACTAGATTCAGTCCATTTATAGACTAATTTTATTAATAAAAAGACCAATAAAATTGATTAGCTCTGTTTGTACCACCAGTGGCACAAGTCACCTGATTTATTATAGGCAGCTAAGTTAGGTAGAAATACGGTAGGCAATCAGAAGATGAGAATGCATCAAGACTGTGGCTGGAGGCACATCTGAAGATTAAAGTCACAATGGCTAGATTTACGTACTTCTTTAAGGGATAAGCAGAATTTGACATTACAGGTATCACGCTTTTGAGATCTCCCATTACCTCATTAGGGGCGGGCCATCCTCTCCCTCCCACAAGACTCAGCCTCAGCCTCAGACTACTAAAACTAAGACTAAAAACAAGACTAAGACTACAGATTATCAACCAAGAGTAATGATACCCATATGCCTTCGCTACTTTTGGATATTACCTAAGTGATTATCCTTGCAATCTTATTGGTTAATCAAAATTTTGACCCATGTTGTACCTACCTTATGATTTTGTTCTATAAAACTTCAAGGCTGGGCATGGTGGCGCACGCCTGTAATCCCAGCACTCAGGAGGCTGAGGCAGGAGGATCGTTGAGAGTTCGAGACCAGCCTGGGCTACAAAGTGAGCTCAGGGCCAGCCTGAACTGCATAGTGAGACCCTGTCTCAAAAAGACCGAAAAAAACAAAACAAAACAAAAAAAAACCACAAAACCTCAAGAAGTAAGTTCATTGGCAACCCATTCAGGATCCCTCCTGTCTCTGTGCACTATTTCTATTCCCCATCTCTAGTCTCCAAAGAATTTTCCTACTCTTAGCCTCCGTTGTTCCTTAGAATTCATTCTTTGACAACAAGGAACATGAACTCGATGTATCTGACATCAGGATTTCCCTGTATGAATTGGACGGTCATGTGTGTACAGAAACACGTCAAGGAAACTCTTTATGTATTCATGCAGCTCGAATTCTAAGATACAACAAACAGAAAAAAACGGCATTGCCAGCAGGGGTGCTGCACACCAGTAATTTCAGCATTTAGGAGACTGATGCAGGGGGATCGCACGGTAAGAGCCCAGCCTGGGCTATACAGCAAGACCTTTTCTCAAAAAACAAAAAGAAACCCAAACAAAAGATCCCAGGCATAAAACTGGGTAGGTATCATGCTGCTATTCGTATAAAAAGGAGAAAACACAAAAACATGTTTGTTGTGTGTTGCTATGGAAAAATAACCCCCAAAACTTAGTGATTAAACACTATCATCTTGGTGTGGTGGGTCAGGAATCAGCACACAGGTCTTTTTATTTTGTCTTGAGGTCTGCCCTCTAACCACCGGGTCTGTACCCACCATTGTAACGTATTCTCATCTGCTGTACTGGCTCCCTTGATGGCCTAGCCCTGTCTGATTGCCTATATTTCTAACTTAGCTGTCTATAACCATTTTTAATTGGTGTGAATGGTATTAAGATTTATATTTGGGCAGTAGTTAATTTGAGCTAGCTGTCTTTGGCTCAGTCCTCGCGAGGTCAGTTGAGCTATCAGCTGGGGCTGGACCCGCCGGGAGAAAGGACCCGCTTCCAAGTTCTCCTCCGGGTTGTTGCGGCACCTGGCTTGTCCTGTGCTTGCTCACAGGGCTGCAGCTGTGCACAGCATCCCAGCTGACACCCCCAGCTGACATCCCCGTATGACCCAAGAGTGAAAGACAGCACCCACATGGAAGCCAGTCTTGTTTTGATGATCTATTTTCGAAGCAACATCCCGTCTTTTTGCAGTCTTCTGTCATCAGACGCAAATCTGCAAGCTGGCTCAAAGGGAGGGTGCCCCAGGGTACGGGCGGGTAGAGACGGCTCCTGGGCTCTCTGGGAGGATGCGACCACCGATGTGTGCACTGAAATGTTCAGCACCAGCCGCCTGCAGGGGAGGGGGCTGGCTCTAGGGGAGAACTTTTCACTCAATATGCTTTTGTACTTTAAGATTTTACACATTGCTTACATGTTTTATTCAAAAAATAAAACAATTTAAAAATTTAAAAGAATTAAAAGGATGCCATTTAGTAGCAGAAGAGCTAAGAGTAAAGAAATCAAAATTACTACCCTTCAATAGTTACCCGTAGGCACCATAAGCATATTCATTTCTAGTCATCACTTCTTCCAGAGATGGGAGCTTAAAAAGCTTCATCACACACCCACAAGGTCACGCGTACAGCTGTGCATCACAGTGTCACTAGGGTACACTCGTATGGGGCCACCCTCATGTATGGGGTCCTTCGCTGACCGAAATGTTATGCAGCATACAACCGCACACATGTGCATGTACACAAGCAACTGCCACTGGAGCAAAACAGAGAATCTTGAACCAGGGTGAGTCCTTCATAGTGTGGCTCCAGACCGCCCCTACAGACCCATTTCCTGCCCTCCTTCTATGAACTCTACTCGCTTGCTGTGCTGGATAATTAGCAAGTGTTAGTTCTAGGGAATAAAAGCAACAAGCACGACGCCATGCAGAGCACACTTTCAATGAGTGTTAGCGTCCATTCTTCTTTTTCTTTTGAGACAGCATCTCGCTGTGTAGTACAGGCTGGCCTTCTGGCACTGAGTTCACCATGTAGCCTAGGCTGGGCTCAAATTTGTGGCAATCCTCCTGACTCAGCCTCTTGAGTGCTGGGATTACAGGCATGCACCACCACGCCCGGCAATATCCATTCTTAATCAAAGGCTGCCCTTGTTCAGACCGTGCCCTGTGCATAGAATACCATGAATCTCTTTTCTAGCTCCAAGTAAAATTCCCCTATGGCTAACTCAGATGTACTTGTCACCATGAAATGTCACCTCTGTTCTCCCACAGCCCTTTATGCAACTGTAACACTTTATTGTTGTATTACAATTTAACTCTACAACTCAAAGACTGATCAGCAGCCACATTTCCTGGGGCCTTTGCGGAAACGCAAAATCTGGCCCTCTCCCCAATCACAGAACAAGACGCTAAATTCTAGCATGATACCAGTGATTCATATCCACGTTAAAGTTGGAGAAAGACTGTTTTAAAGCTTTTCCTGACTGAATGGTAAGCTTCCTCTGGGCTTTCTTTTATCGCTCTTCCCAGAGCCCATCATAAGACTCAATACTCAAATCTCTTCTGAGTTTAGTTTTAGTTACATAACAATTATGCATATGATAGATTTTTTTGTAAAATTCTTGGAAGAATATACACTATGTTATTAATAATTGTTATGTATTACGTGAACAATGGTACATTTTTGTGCATTTCATTTTTCATAGAGTATATGATCTTTGTACACAGAATTTGAAGATTTGGAAAAATTACATAAAATGTAAGATATAATCACAGGCAAATATGTGTTATATGATAAAGATAACGGTTACAATTGTATTGAGGTATAAGAACAGATATGAAGATGAATTTGGTACATTTGAAGTTTTTAAAGACAGTCTAATGACATGTAGCGATACCTTCTGTTTTTCACTAAAACTGTGAATGGACAATGAAAGGACATATTAAAATGTCTCTGATGGAATTTGCCTTATACTTTTCTACATTTTAAATCTTCCCTACAATTACTAAAATAAGCGTAAGGAAAAAAGTCATTTTTACTTTGAAAAACACTATTCTCTTTATTACAGAGCTTTCCCTCAGGGATCCAGACCTCTCCAAGCAGCTGGGAAACGGGAAGCTCTGCGAGCGCAGGGCAGCGGAAGAGCTGGAGCCCCGGGCCTCCGCAAGGCACCCGAGGCGGCGGCTCTGGGCTGTGCAGTTAGTCCCAGCTCACGAGAACGCGGCCCGCGCCACGCGCGATGCCCGCTGCCGCCAAACCCTGTCATTTTGGGAGTCTCACTGGCTAGTTACTTCCTCCCACATGGCTGACAGCAACAAGGGAAAGCGCTCAAAGACAAAGCATTCAGCCGAGTCATGCTGCATCAGCTCCCCCTGGTGGCAGGCTGAGGAAATGAAAGTGGCTTAATAAGGAGCTACTGCAATGGGTCAAGTATTTTAATTTTGAAATGTTTTCCATCAACATCACCTTTTTTTTCCTTTTTGAGACCAGGTCTCACTATGTAGTCCAGGCTGGCCTTGAACTTGCTATTGAGGCCTAGGCTGGCTCAAGTTTGCAATCTTTCTGCCACAGCCTCCCAAATGCTGGGATCACAGTCCTGTACACCCACACCTGGCTTTCTTCCTTTCTGTATTTCTTATTTTATTGTTTGGTGCTGGGCCCGTACCAAACATGAGCTCTACCACTGCATTATATTCCCAGCCTCACTTTTATTTATTTAAACCATCAAAACCACCTTCTCCTTCATCAAGGAGTCAGAGACTGACTTGTACACAGACAATGCCAGGAGCTCCTGTAGCCCTTTATCTCCTGTCCTTTCCCTCCCTACTTCAGGCCTTAAGATACAGATACTGTATTGACAGCACTGCCTTTACTTTCCGTCTGCCTCCACTCACTTCCCTGAGCCTCAGGAAAGGGTAAGCAGTGACCCATGTACCCTTGGCCATGCCCCCAGAGATGCACCACCAATCCTCCCAAGACCCAGTCCTCAGGTTCTAGGCATTGACATTTCCAATGTGACAGGTTGCTGTGCTGCTGTTCCTTTAGAAATACCAGAGTGCAGCAATGTCAGTCTTCAGCAGTGGCCCTCCGTCTCCGATAAACACACAGCTTAGCTTCCTTACTCCTCCAGGAAGAAAGATACATTCAATAGGATATCTGGAACAGGAAGAGGGAAAAACTGTTGTATATCACCACTTCAGAGAACATGAAACATCAGATTTATAAAGATACAGAGATACAGCAAGGGCATCTCTCTAAAGCCTCCTAGGAATAGCCAGGAGCGGTGGTACACGCCTGTAATCCCAGCACTTGGGAGGCTGAGGCAGGAGGATCACTGTGAGTTTGACACTAGCCTCAAGGCCAGCCTGAACTACACAACGAGACCCTGTCTTAAAAAAAAAGACCTCCCAAGAGATGAGCCACCAGGAAAGAAGAGACATACAGGATAATAAAAGAACAGTACCCTGCACAAGGTCTTGGCGCTCATCCTCTGAAATTCGGTTCCAGGCTGTGGGCAGTGCTTGAATGCCTTCCAAGTCTCCCCACTGCATGGAGGAGAGGAGGTACTTTCTCTTCAGGTACTTTCCCAGGAGTTAAGGACACATTTGCACAAAGAAAATGAAGCACTGAGAGGCGTAGCTCAGTACTAGAATGCTTGCCTAACACATACATGAGGCCCTTGACTCAATTCACATACTGAAAGAAGAAAGAAACAAGGAACAAGAGAAAGAAAAAAAGCAAAGGAGAAAGGAAGACAGAAAATGAAGTATGTGGAAGGAACAAAGCACCCTGACCAGAGCTACAGAGCTATAAAGTAAAAGTTACATTTTACCAGATAGGCAGAATGCATAAATATTCCCCAAGCAACTCTTTTTTAACACAGCCTGATGCTAGTAGGAGAGAAGCGTCAAACACTGTCCCTGAAATCTGGAATCTCACCCCAGTGACAACAAAACCAGAAACTGAATGGCGAAAAAGCACAAACATAAACTCAGTGGAAGTTCAAAGGATGGATACCCCTGCTTTAGAGGCCAGCAGGAACATTCCAGCTCATAGGAAAGAGAAGCAGAGGTAAGGGAGTGGGGAAACATGAAGTAGATTCAGGGAAAAGTGAGTCTTCCAGTGTAGCTGGTATGCACAGAGTATGTGGCTGGAAAGGCAGCTGAGAAGATGCGTGGATCCAGAACCCGGAGAAAACAGAACCCAGGCAGGGATTCTGAACCTTATCCTAATAGCAACAGAAGCCATCGACAATTCCTGTACAAGCAGCCTGAAACAGATAGACTTCTGGAAGACATAGACTGTGGTCATTACCTACAAATAACTTAGAGAAGGAAAAAACTAGAGACAGAGGAACCTGTCAACAGCTACATGTGATTAAGAGTTCAAGTTAGAAGCTAAGGAAGTGGCAGAGGGCAGAGAGAAAATATAGCTATGCATCACTTAATGATGAAAACATGTTCTAAGAAATGTGTCATAACTGATCTTGTCCAGTGTGAACATCATGAAGTCTACTCACACAACTAAGACAGCTATGACATCGCTGAGTAGAGTACTCTTGCCTGTTGGGACCATTGTGGTATGTGTGGTTCATTTCATTTGTAGCACGTGACTAGAAACTAGCTCTAGGGAAACAGAATCAAAGGGCTTGCCAACTGCCCGTACAAGCAGTCTAGCACGCTGCAAGTGTTCAGCAATGTCCACTGTAGCTACTGCTCTTCTTGCCCCTGCTGCTGTTGCTCTCACTGCTACTCCTGGTATCACATCAGTACCACTGTGGCAGTTAAAACAACAAAGAGAAGCCCAGGGGTGGGGGTACATTTCCATACTGAATAACAGCGTTGATTCTACAACTAAATGAAAAAGGGGGTGAATTCTTGAGAGCTACCCCGAGTTCAACTGAGACTCAAGACCAGAAGCAAAAATGAAGATGAAGCCAGAGAAGAGTTGTGGGTATCAGGCAAGAATACAGAGGAAAAGGCTAGAATTTTAATTAACTGGTCTTTCTGCTTTCACCCCTGCCTGCCATCACCCTGAGACTTTGCTTAGAACATAGCTATTGAGGGCCGGGAAGACAGCTCAGAGGCACAGCGCCTGCCTGGCAAGCACAAGGTCCTGAGTTCAATTCCCTGTACCAAAAAAAAAAAAAACAAAAAAAACATAGCTATTGAGATACAGTTAAAAATGTAGGTCTTTTCATGTTACTCCTCTATTCAAAACTTTCTAATAGCTTTTATCTCAAAGTAAAAGCCAAAGTCCTTTCAGAGACCTTCAAGGCCCTGGATCCACTAATCTAGTCTACTCCTGGGCTCCCCTCGTGCCCTGCTCTCAGCACATGAAAGCCTGCCCAGACCACCCTAGCTCAGAGCCCACCCTCATACCTCACATTCTTCGCATTATTTTTCTACATAGCTTTTTTTTTTTGGCTTTTTTGAGACAGGGTCTCGCTGTTGTACAGGCTGGCCGGGAACTCATGGCAATCTTCCTGCCTCAGCCTCCCGAGTGCTGGGATTACAGACATATGCTACCACGCCTAACCTCCATAGCATTTATCACCATCTAACAAGCCATACATTTTCCTTTTTCCATTTCCAGACAGAGTCTGGCTATGTTGTCCAGGAAGGCCTCAAGCTTGATATTCTGTCTCAGCCTCCCACATAGCTGGGATTATAAGCATACACCACTGGGCCCAGCTCTGTATCTATGTACGTATGTATGTCTGTATGTGTGTATCTAGCTAGCCACCCACCAACCCATCCATCCATCTTTCTTCTTTCCTTTTGGGTTTTGTTTTGTTTTTACAGACAGGATCTCACTATGTAGCCCAAGCTGGCCTCAAAGTCACAGCAACTGATCCTCTTGCCTCAGCCTCCAGAATGCTAGGAATACAGGCATGTGCTACCACATCCAGCACATTTTTACTTTTTAATGCAAGTCTCCCAGCACCTACAAAAGTGCTTGGCAGGCAGTACCTACTCAATAAATTATTTGAGGAATGATTATAAAAAGGAATACAGGAGGAATCCAAGTTCAGGAACTAAAGAGAACAGTCCAAGATAGAAAGTTTTTCATCTTGTGAAAATTGAAAGGAAAAAGACTTCTTGGAACAGCGCCTGACACTGTCTCAAAGGGACGCAAAGGATATGAGCTTCGGTAGTGTCTCTCGATGTCTTGCAGCCATTCCAACATGTCCGCCACAGAGGGGCTCACCACCGAGGGCTGAAGGACAGCATCAATGCCAACTGCGTCTGCATGTTGCTCATAGGTCTGAAACACTCGTTCCACGTGGCTGCTGACAGTGTCCCGCACCTTGAGAAGGGTGTCTCTGTGGGAAAGAGTCTGACATCAGACAATCCCATGAGGAAGGCAGGAGGTGAGGTTTCTCGAGCCTGGTGTCACTGACATTTGGGACTGGGTGATCCTGGGCTGTGGACTGCCCTGTGCATGGCAGGATCCTCAGTAGAGTATCTGGTGTTCATCCACTGAATGACTGGAGGAAACCAGGCTCCGACCTCTCTCTTTTTTTGGTCTTTTAGAGACAAAATTTCACTGTGAAGTTCAGGCTGGTCTTGAACTCACTTTGCAGCCCAGGCTGGCCTGTAACTTGTAGCAATCCTCCTGCCTCAGCCTCCCAAGTGCTGGCAGGCCTGTGCCACCATGCCTGGCTCCTACCTTCTCTAAATCACAACAATAGTCTCTAAACATTGCCAAATGTCCCTTACAAAAATTCATCTCCAACTGAGACCCTGATCTAAGGAAACTGGTGACAATACCTTGGAAATAGGAGTGGCTCAAGAATCAAAAACTGACTTACAGATGGAGAAGCTGAAGAAGTTATAGGGCTCTCAAACCTGTGGGATAAGCACAATCACCAAAGAAAGTGAAGACCAAGGGGCCTTTCTGGGACTACCATAAAACTGTAAGGACAGCAAACAGTCCCAGGTCATATACAAGAAAAAGGAATAAGCAAGAGGTAACTGAGGCAACAAATTAACACTATGTGCATGTTCCCTAGTCTTTTCTTGTTTTTTTTTTTGAAACAGGGTCTCGCTATGTAGTCCAGGCTAGCCTTGAACTCACGGAGCTCCTTCTGCCTTAGCCTGCTGAGTATAGGATTACAGGCATGTGCTACCATGCTTGGCCTCTTTTCTTGGTAAATTCATGAATGGCAAAATGTGATCTCAGGATAGACAAGAGTACTGTGGACCTTAGGATAGTTACACAGTCTTCCCTCATGTATAAAACTAGTTTGTAGAGGGCTGGAGATTTAGCTCAGTGGCATAGCACCTGCCTGGCAAGTGTGAGGTTGTGAGTTCGATTCCCAGTACCAAAAAAAATTTACTTTGCAGGGGCCAGGGATGTAGTTCAGCAGCACAGCACCTGCCTGGCAAGCACAAGCCCCTGAGCTTGATTCGCAGTACCAAAAAAAGAAAAAGTTTGTTTTTTTCACTGCACATCCAAAGCAATGGCTAGAATACAGACTAGCATGTAGAACAACAAATATTTGCTAAATGAGTCAATGAATGAATTCAAAGGGTTATTATAAAGATTTAAAACAATAATCCATAAAAAGTGCTTAGAATAGTGCTTAGCTTTTTATGAAGTAAATATTACTTTACTGGTGATTCCAGTGTATCCAGCCATCAAGACAACACCTAAAACTTCTCAAAGGGCAAGGAATCATCTAGCCTGGAATGCTGGCTCTCAAAAATGTTTGGCCATGAATTACAATGAAAAAACCAGACAAAATAACCCAATACCCACACACAAACATGTAATCAACTGATATAAAAGTTGACAGAACAATACCTGACCCTCTGAAACACTGTTTTCCATATTGTTATTTGTACACAACATTTAAAAAATACAATAAAGCTGGGTATGGTGGCACACACATGCAATCCCAGCACTTGGGAGGCTGAAGCCGGAGGATCACTGCAAGTTTCAGGCCAGCCTGGGCTACATAGTGAACTCAAGACCAGCCTGAATTACACAGCGACACCCTGTCCCAAAAAAACCAATAAAACAGAAGACAAAATATTGCAGTCATATTTTGTGGAATATTTCAGTTATATATTATTATAGCTACAACTTTTCATCACACCAAAGATAAACCCTGTATCCATTAGTATTCACTTCCTCATTCTCCTCTGCCACTCAGCCCCAGGCAACCAGTTACCTACTTTTCCATCTCTATGGATTTGTTCTGGACATTTCACACAAGTGGAATTATACAACCCGTTGGGGTTTTTTGTGTCTTTTACTTTACATGTTTTCAAGGTTCATCCATATTTTAGCACGTATCAGTACGTAACTCCTTTTTATGGCTAAACAATATTCCACTGTACAGATCCTAGTACATTGTTTATCTGTATACCTGCTGGACATTGGATTTATACCACCTGTTGGGCAGTATGAGTAATATTGACTCCCATGGATTCCTTAAACAGCTACGGCTGATAAAGAAGCCAATTAATATAGAGCAAATGTGTCAATAGCTAAGAGGTTTTTGTGGATTTCTGTTCCATCTCTCACGAAAGTCCTCCATCCAGAAGCAAGACATGTGTCTACGGATCATGTGGTCCTAGACATGGCTTACACATCCCTTCGTGAGCGCCAATCTCGTTTCTTACCAGCCGCCGCTCCAGCCACGCCAATCTCCACGCAACCCTATTCATATCCTCCTCCCGACCCAGTTTACATGGGGCCACCCAGGTTTCCAACACACTTCCTTCCAGAGGCTTCCTCCCTGCTCAGATGGCATTCATCACTACCTTAGAACACAGCACAACATAACTAAAATGACTGATTGTCTCTCCCTCCTACACCACTAGGAACAGGAAGTCTAACTCATCTTTGTATGCATAGCACCTTCTGCCCGGCATTCTACAGATGCTTAGTAAATGTTGCTTGTTACAAATGCATGAAAGAATAGAATGAGTGTCCTATGAATCAATGGCACAGACATTGTACACTGGGACTGTCTTTTGTTCTGGGTCAAGGAGAGGCCACATATGCCTTGTCTCTTCTCGGGCCTCTATCAATCAGCTTGGAAGACATGCTGTTCCTGAGCAGAAACACCAATGTTCAGCACAACAAAGCAGTGGTCACGAGTTCTGGCTTTGGTGTCAGGTACACTTGGGTTAGAATCCCAGCTACGCTATTTACTAGCCCTGTGACCAGAGGCAATCTGCTTAAATCTGTTTCCTTGCCTGCAAAAATAGAATAAAGCAAGATCAAATTGCAGGTGTCAAAAGACTTTAGGAGAAGCCGGGGGTGGTGGTGCACTCCTGTAATCCCAGCACTCCGGAGGCTGTGGCAGGAGGATCACTGTCAGTTTGAGGCTAGTCTGGGTTACAAAGTGAATTCAAACCCAGCCTGAACTGAAAGAGTAAGACCCTGTCTCAAAAAAAAAAGAAGAAAAAAAGACTTTATGAGGTAGTGTAGTAAAACTCTTAGTTCTGGTCCCCATTAGCTTAAAATATAGTTTTTCATAGCCTTTCACAAAGAAAACAATAGAGGAGAGCTAACAAAATTCTCCACTCTTTTTCTGCTCTGCTTTTGTCACTTTTTTTTTGTTTTGTTTTGTTTTTGGTTTTGTTTTTTTGAGACAGGGTCTAGCTATGCAGTTCAGGCTGGCCTTGAGCTCACTTTGTAGCCCAGGCTGGCCTCGAACTCGCAAAGATCCTCCCGCCTCAGCCTCCCGAGTGCTGGGATTACAGGCTTGCTTTTGTCATTTCCACTAAGGGCAGCATGGCCATGCCCAGCCTCTGGCAAAGGGAATACCGACCAGAAAGATGGCTTTTTGATAGAAGTCCCACTGTAACAGAAGGAAAGAAGGAAAAGCTGAGACACTTCTAAGTGCCATGCACTCCAAGAGAGAACTACCTTTCTGGCCCATCCTAACTAGTTATAAAGCTGCCAGTTTTAAGGTCACTCTGTCGGGAAAGAGTGCCACGGAGACTCACAGCTTCTCCTCCAGCTTGTCCAGGATCGTGTCGCCAGCCTCCAGCTGCTTGCGTCTCAGCCGCTCCTGTAAGTCCGGGAAGGCCCGAAGCGCCGGCACATCCTCAAATCGCAGGTTCTGTGCGGCCTGCAGCTGCTCTGCCAGGTTGCCGAGGGAGGCCAGGAGGGGCTGGCAGTCCTGCAGGGTGCTCTGCCACAGGCCCTGCTGTTCCTCCACCACCGGAAAGCACTTCTTCAGGGCCTGCTGCACAGCGAGCAAAGGCTGGTCCTGAGTCATCTTCTGCTAGAAAAACAATAAAAATAGGGCCAGGGCGGCGAGTCAGGGCGAGGCTGAGCGGCATTTCCGACCGCTTGGGAGGTCTAGCGCTCGGCCTCCAAGTCCCCCGAGACAGGAGCTTCTGCTCGAGGCGCTGTCCTACCTTCAGAAGCGGCGCTCTAGGTAAGGACCTCTGCTTCCCACCCCAGGATAAGTGTCCTGGTTATGGCTCCGAGCAGGCTCCTTCGGGATGAGGAAGCTCTCTGCTTCACCGGGCCCAAGGCCCATATCCCCTCAGGTCAGCGCTTTTGGAACCATAATACTGTATCCTTTCTTTGAGGCCGCCAGGAACTGTGCTGTACACCAGCCGAAAAACTTAAAACCAAATAAATCCAACCCTTAAGTACCCGCCGGGAATAGCACCACGCCGCACACTCGGTCCGCGCATGCTCAAAAGCGACCCCCCCCACGCTAACGTCAGACTCAAGCGCGACTGATCCTGGAAACGTCATCAAACTGCAAAGACTTCTGGGCATTGAAGTTCTACATATGGATTGGCAGCCTGGTAGTGGGACTTCCTTGTGATTGGATATTATAGGACCGTCTTAAGGCAGCGACATCTCATTCGCCAGTCTGTGGTAGTTGGGTTTAAATTGGTTGGCGGTTAGTTGCCGGGCTCAGCTAAGACAGTGAGTTTTTTCTCCGTGTTTGCTGCGGCATCCGCAGGTAAGTGCCTCGCGACTTCTTTATACCCAGACTTTGAAGGACGTTCCCGCCCATCCTTTTCGCACCCCCTTACGTTCTCCGCCTCCGCTGACCCCTTGTGTCTCAGTACCCTGCTCTCCGCAGCCTCCACCCAAGCACCATGGCTCCTAGAAAGCGTAGCAGTCGGGCAGCTAAGACCAACTCCTTACGGAGTCGGAAACTCGCCTCGTTTCTTAAGGACTTCGACCGTGAAGGTAAGGGGCGGATTCCGGCCGTCGCGGCTGCCTGCGTCGATCGCGGGGTGCTGGAGGGTTGGGGCGCCGGCAGCGCGAATTTACCCGCCGAGTGAACCGTGTCCTCTCATCTCTTCCCTCTCGCAGTGCAAGTGCGAATCAAGCAAATTGAGTCAGACAGGCAGAACCTCCTCAAGGAGGTGGATAACCTGTACAACATCGAGATCCTGCGGCTCCCCAAGGCGCTGCGCGAGATGAACTGGCTCGAATACTTTGGTAAGAGCTTCTAGTCTGCCCAGGCTGCGGTCTGTAGCCGTATGTGGTTATCCTGACAGCTTTGGGAAAGGACTAACTCAAATGTCTCCTGCTGAATGAGGTCTGACATGACCACCCGTGGAAAGTTGCAACCCTGCTGCTCCGGGCCCCTCCCTGTCTCAGCTCCCTGCTTCATTTGTCTCCATTGCCCGAACTGCATTCCAGTGTCCACCTTCACCCCCGGCAAAGGGTCAGGCAGCAAATATTTTCCTCTTCTTGGGCCAGAGGGTTCTATGTCCAACTACTCAAAACAGGTATAATGAATGGACTGTGTTCCAATAAAAATTTATTTATGAACACGGAAATGTAAATTTTACATAATTTTTTCACTTCACAAAATAATACTCGTGTGTGTTACCTAACCATTTACAAATGAATGAATAAATGACTTAGTTAATTAGAGCTCAGATGGGAGAGTTACTGCAAGCAGCTCTTTCTGTAGCTTGTGGGAATTGTCCCTTTAAAAAGTGGGAGTGGTGGCACACACCTGTAACCCTGACACTCTGGGAGGCTGGGGAATAAGATTGCAAGTTCAAATCACACCTGAGCAACTTACCCAAACTATGTCTCAAAGTAAAAATGGGCTGAGGATGTAGTTTAGTGTAAAAGTCCTGAGTCCAATCCCCAGTACTACCAAAAAAAAAAAAGAAAAACCACTATATTTTGTTGTAAAGTATAAGGACAGGAGAGTTTTTTCTGATCAGAGAAAAATCCCAACTTCTTTTCCCACTCCCTTATTAAATATTCAAGAGAATGCAAGAGCTGTCCTTTCTGCCTGTACTAACTTTTGGGGGGTTTTTTTGTTTGTTTGTTTGTTCTTTTGAGATAGGGTCTTGCCGAGTTGTTCAGGCTGCCTTGAACTTACTACGTAGCCCAGGCTGGCCTGCAACTCATGTCTATCCTCTTGCCTCAGCCTCCCAAGTGCTGGGATTATAAGTGTGTGTGTTACCAGGCCCAGCTCTGTACTAACTTCTATACTAATTTCTGTGCTAACTTCACTTTTTCTGTTTTCTTTATTATTAATAATTACCCAGTATGTAGTCTCCGTACTGGGTAGAAATGCATGTGATGTTCACATAGGATTTTAATGATTCTTTGGACTGGTGTTTTATTTACTGAATGCATTCACTCACAAAAGTTGAATATGTCACATTTGTAGTGCTAGGTGCTGATGATGCATCAGGGAATAAAACAGACATTGTCTCTGTCCTTGGGAGCTTATGGGTTAGAGGGGAAAGATTATTAAAAACTTAGGTACAATTTCAAGTATATGATAAGAATCATACAAAAGAGATACTGTCAGCTGGGCGTGGAGGCACATGCCTGTACTCCCAATACTCGTGTGTAACCCAGCATTCAGGAGACTGAGGCAGGAGGATCACGGTGAGTTTGAGGATGGCCTGAGCTACATAAATGAATTCAAGACCACCCTGCACTATATAGGGAGACTCTGTTTCAAAGAAAAAAAAAAAGAAACCAAGGCAGGAGTGGGCACTTAAACAACTTTGAGTAGCTTCTGAGTAGCTGGGTATGCTGGGGGTATGTGTCGGGGAGCTACTTAGCAATTTATTTTGTGCTTTGCAATTTTTTTTTATTTGCCAAAATCTGTTATAGCAGAAGGAACATAAGCAGACTTTGGGGGTGACATTCGAGCTGCGTTCTGAAGGGTGAATTACAGATTTGTGTGCACAGGAGTATTTTAGCCAGAGGAAATACTTAGTATTGTCCTAGGTCACTGAGTCATGAGAGTCAGTGTCACCTGTGGGAAATAACAAGAACCTTGGTGCGGTAGAACATAGAATAATAGGTCAGAAGTTGAGAGAATTACGCTTGGAGAAAGACTAGACAGGACTGTGAAGGTTTTTCAATGTGGGCCAAGAGCTTAATCTGGTCCAGTTACAGAAAGATAGTTGACTGAACTGGGAAAATGATTTATTGTTCAAATCTAATAGTAACTAAATATAATGTTCTTTCTTTTTAAAGCTCTTGGAGGAAACAAACAGGCCCTGGAAGAGGCAGCAACAGTAAGTGACCTATCTTATTTTTGAGCTGGCTAATTTAAGATTAATCCAATCACAAAATTGAACCAATTTAGTACATACTGTAAAAAAGATTCCTTATAGGGACATTATCTTTTTTTTTTTTTTTTTTTTTTTTTTTTTTGTCTTTTTGAGACAGGATTTCGCTGTGCAGTTCAGGCTGGCCTTGAACTTACTTTATAGCCCAGACTGACCTGTAACTTGCAGTGATCCCCCTGCCTCAGTTCAAGTGCTGAGATTACAGGTGTGCGCCACCACACCCAGCAACATAGGGACATTATGTTTGTCAACTTAAAAATTCCAGTTGTATCAGACACTGGGTACATGAAGCCCAAATATGTCTGAGTCCTAAAAAGAGAGTGTGTTATTATGGTACACATTTCCTCCAGACCCTATCTGTGAATTCCTCAGATGAGGATTCAACTAACCATAGGTTGAAAATATTTAGAGAGAAATAATTGCATCCATAATAAACATGTACTGACTTTTTTTCTTATTCTGTAAATGAATAGGCCAAGTGTGATGGTACAAGCCTATAATTCTGGCACTAGGGAGGCAGAGGCAGGAGGATTGCTGCTGATTCAAGGCCAGCCTGGACTACACAGTGAGACCTTCTCTCAAAACAAAACAAAAATACATAGAATGATGACATTTGCATAATATTTACAATGTATTAGGTATTATAAGTAATCTTAAGGTAATTTTAAATATATAAGAGCTGGGCATGGTGGCACACCCTGTAATCCCAGAATTTAGGAGGCTGAGGCAAGAGGATCACCTCTAATTTGAGGCCAGCCTCAGCTATATAAGTGAGTTCAAGGCTAGCCTGGACTACATAGCGAGACCCCATCTCCAAAAAAAACAAAACAAAAGACGGTAAGATGTGCTTAAGTTATTTGCCATTCTACCCTCTTTTATATAAGGGACTTAAACATTTGTGGATTTTTGGTAACTTCAGGTGGTCTTGGGAGTAATTCCCATGGATTCCAAAGGATGACTATATTTTGAGGTTTTCTTCACAGTTCTTGGCTTACAACTTTTCTACCCATTATGATTTTTAAATGACTTCAGCAAAAACACTACCTTTTGTTAGCCTGGGCTACACAGTGAGACCCCGTCTCAAAAAAGAGGGAAGGTATTAGAGCACTTTTACTCCTTGGTTTCTTTTTCTTTGTTTCTATGACCCATTTTAAATCTACCCTACACAGATTCGGATCTAATGTTTTAAAACACAATATTTGGTGCTGAGGGTGTAGCTCACTGGTAGAGTGCTAGCCTAGTATTTGTGAGATTCTGGACTCTTTCCAACATTACAGTCAATAAATTCCTGTATTCCTCTTTTTAAATTAATCAGGCATACAGACCTATAAATAAGAGCTCCTGGTGTAATCTGAGATCCACTCATCACAACAGGCTGAGAGAATTCTAGCTTTACCTAATGTATTTAAAACCCAGTGAAGGAATGACACTTTGGTTCAAAAGCTCTTATCTGGGAGGTGTGTTGGGGGCTCCCAAGACCACTACAAGTTTGGTGATTCACTAAGAACTGACAGGACTCAGCCAGCATATAATCACACTCATGACAATCATTTATCACAGTGAAAGATACAAGCTCAGCAAAGGGAAAAAAGTATATGGGGGGGGATAGTCCCAGCAGTCCAGTTCCAGTGGAGTCACACACGATATGCTTAACTCAACATGTGTGAAATGTTGTCTGCCTGAAAAGCTCTTTAGAGACTCAGTGACAAGGCTTTTTACTGGGAGCTTCTTATGCATCTTCTGCCTAGCAGAACAAAGCAGATGTTGAGCATGAATTATATCATTTGTACGACATACTGCCACACTGAGCTATTCTTTTGGGTTTTGTTTGTTTGTTTTTTGAGACAGAGTCTCACTATATAGTTCAGGCTAGCCTTGAACTCACTATGTAGCCTGGGCTGGCCTCTTAATTTTAGATGATCTCCTGCCTCAGCCTCCCAAGTGTTTAGATTATAGGCATGTGCCACCACACCAGGCTTAGTGAGCTGCTCTTACCGTAGAATGGTAAGAGTCCTGAAATCCAAGTTCCCAGATGCTAGCCATGGGGCAGTCTTGTAAACAGGCCTTGCTACTTCCATCAATCTTAGACCTGATGTGTTAACTATTATGTATAGTGTCTGTGGCCTGCCACCAGTGACGACTTTACAATATGCCACTTGTTAGCAGAGATGGCAAAAAGTTGATTGGATTTTCACCACTTCATTCTATCCACTATGGTAGGCATTACCAATCTATTAGAGCACTGTAAGTCCCAACAGCCTCAGAATCCTCTGAGTACTGCACATAGTCCCAACCAACCCAGACACATACCCGGGTCTTTCCCAGTCTGTAATAACTATTCCAGTATTTACATGCATCCCATGAGGAAAAGACTACAAATCATCCCTGCTCTTAACTCTACCTGTACATATGGGTGGTCCCAGCCATAACAGAGTCTCATTAGAATGATTAGTGCAGGGAAGGCTTTTTGAAGGACCCAGGAGCATGAGTGAGATGCAGTAGAATGAGAAGTCGGACAGAGCATCAAATGTTATATGGGACATGAACCATTAGGAGCTTTTGTTTGCAGATGAGTGGGAGCCTAACCACTTTAGGGAACAGTTTGGCGTAATATTAAGACTGACATTTATGTAACTGGTATCGCCCTTATAGTGCTCTGTTCTTCCCAAGTGTGTAGCCGAGAGAAAACCTGGACATCAAATGCAACAGTCACATAAAAGATAGTTCAAAGTAGTAGTGTTCGTAATGGCAAAAATTTATTTGTAGGAGAATGGATAAATCTATTATGATGTAATCATCTAGTGGGCTAGTATATAGCAGTTAAAAACAAATTTAAGTACAACCATAAATCGTGGTCAGAAAACAAGCAAAACCACCGAAAAATTTAATTACAGTTTTCATATTTGTGAACATACTTACAGATACATAAACTTTGTTTTAAGCAAGTGGAATAATAGTGATTACCTCTGAGGAATTACAGGGCCAGGAAGACTGGTCACCTTTGAGGGAGAGAAGTTATTGGCAGTGTTTTAGGTCTTGAGTTGTATGATAATCACGTTATGGAAGTTCACTATATTGCAACATTTAATAATCTTTTGTCATGTAGGAAATAAGGTGTTTTAAATTATTGTTTGCCTTAATATGCTGTTTTTCCTGGTACTTCCTGGCTGTTTGTCACAGGCTGATGTGGATATCACAGAAATAAACAAATTAACAGCAGAAGCTATTCAGACACCCCTGAAATCTGCCAAAAGTGAGTACTTTTGAAAGCCCTTGTTGAGCAGACGGAACCTGAAGTCTAGGAATTAGGGCCTCACTGGTGGCCCTCTTGTCTCTGTCTGGTCCTCAATCTTGTACATCCAAAAATTTGTTTTGATCTGCTGCATTCAGTTAGTTGTGTGTAGGACTCATACTAACCAATCTCATACAACTGATGTGTGTGTGTGTAGAGGGGGAAGACTGATGAGTGAGCTACAGTCAAATGGAAAGAGGAAATAAACAACAAACAACTGTGCTGAAGCCAGGCATGGTGTATACTTGGACGTAGTGGTACCCACACGTAATCCCAGAACTCAAGAAGTATTGAACCTTAGTGAGGACAGAAGTGACCCGCCTGGATGTGGGACTGGTTTGCAAGGGACCTTATTCCACTGACAAGGGCCAGGAACACTGTGTACTTCTGGCCTGACTGGCCTTCCATCAGAATTGCCTTGCAGAGTGAAGACAGCATATGAGTTTTCTCTCCTGAGTTCTGTCGGTTTTGCTTAACTGTCATTGGTGACAAGGGTCTTCTAATTTTACTCCTTGAAACTGAATCCACCAGGACCAATGTTAACTAACAGTTAAAATTGCTTTTATACTTTTTTGACCACTGAACTTCATTATACTGTAAACTATTAAAAGACAGAGAGATTCTAATGTGTCAAAGTTGAAGCTAAAAAGCTTAAAGCCTTTAGTCCAATCCCCCTACCCCCATGAGTACATAAATACATGAGCTCTCTCTGTAGAATTCCTTACTCAGGATTGTCCAGCTCCTGGTTATATATATTTAGTGGTGAAACATTCTGCCTTTTGTTATCAGACAGTGGTTATGGTGAGAAAGTTCTTCTAATTTTGAACCAAAGTTTCTTTATGGTATGTATATTAATATTAGTTCTGTTCTATAGAGCCCCATAAAAACTTCCTTAAGACAGCCCCTTAAATATTAAAAATTGGGATCTAGCCAGGTGTGGTGGCACACTCCTATAATCCTAGCACTCAGGAGGCTGAGGCAGGAGGATCACCATGAGTTTGAGGCCAGCCTAGGCTACATGGTGAGTTCAAGGATAGCCTTAATTGCCTAGTAAGACATAGATAGATAGGTAGGTAGATAGATAGATAGATAGGCAGACAGACAGATATTGCAATCTTTCAGCTTAGACATCCTTCATACTCCCTTTTTCTCCTAAGACAATTTTGTTTTTGTTTTTTTTTTAAAGAGGCATGAGAAGGATTTATTAGAGGGAATGAAGCATCTCTTTTAAGGCCATTGTAATAAAAATTTATAAATCATATTATAATTAATACTTATTTTAATTTGTGTCTGGACTGTAGATTCATTCATTCATTCCACAAATACTTAACACCTAAAGGTACCTTTCTAGGGTCTCGGAATACAGTAATAACAATAACAATCTATCCTTGTGGAATATGTTCCAAGCCTCATAATATCCCTATAAAGTGATAGCCCCCTGCTATAGATGAGGAAACTAGAACACTTTATTAAAGCCTTTTGACCTAGTAAGTAGTAGCTCCAGACCTCAAGCCCAAGTCTGTCTTAATCAGAATTCATGCTGTCTCTAACAACCGTGAGCCATCATGTGGGGTTGCAAGCACTCTGATTGGCTTCCTTTGTTTAAACAGCTCTTCTTAAATGCTTTTTTGTTGGGTTTTGTTGTTGTTGTTTTGTTTCTTATGGTACTGGGGATTGAACTCAGGGCTTTGTGCACGCTAGGCAAGTACTGAGCTGTATCCCCAGCCCGCAACTGTCTTCTTGCTGAGCATGGTTGTCCACACCTCTGATCCCAGCACTTGGCAGGTTGAGGAAAGAGAATCACCGCAAGTTTGAGGCCAGCCTGTGCTACAGAGCAAGTTCAAGATCAGCCTAAACTACATAGTGAAACCCTGTCTCAGAAACCCCAACAAATAAATAAATAAATAGCCCTCTTCTTTAAAAAAAGTGAGCCAGGTGTGGTGGCGCACGCCTGTAATCCCAGCACTCAGGAGGCTGGGGCAGGAGGATTGTTGCGAGTTCGAGAACAGCCTGGGCTACAAAGTGAGCTCAAGGCCAGCTTGAACTGCATGGGGAGAACCTGTCTCAAAAAAGACTAAAAATTAAAATTAAAATTAAAAAACTGAATTTCTGGGACTTGAGATGTAGCATCATGGCAGAACTTGCATGCCTCGCATGTACAAGGAGACACTGGGTTCAATCCCCAGCACCGCCAAAGAGAAAGAAGAGTGCATGATATCTGTCTCTTGATTGCAGCCTAACATTGTATAAGTTGTTCCTGTAGGAAATGTGAATGCATGGAAGGTTGTTCCATCAGAGATCACATGCTTTTACATCTGTTTCTTTATAGAACGAAAGGTAGTACAAGTGGATGAAATGATAATGGAAGAAGAAGAAGAAGGAAATAAGCCTAAGAGTTCTCAAACTACAAGAGTAAGTAGGAATTCAGGTTAGGAGGGCTAGCAAGAGATAAATGAATGCAAAAATTTAAGGAAACAGTGTTGTCCCCTGAGGGCTCCAGGTTTGGTTGAAAAGATCTCCCTTTAAGTGGCAAATAACAAAAGTGATCGCTGAAACCTGTGCCAAGTGTGTAGAACATGGAGGAAGCCAGTGAGTTTTCCTGTCCTCATTAGGACACAGCCAGTGTTTTCAAGGTGATGGAGGTTCTGCTAGCCGGAGAAGAAAGGGGAGAAAGTCCATGTAGAACTAGGAAAGTATCCACTTGAGGAACAGAAAGGAGTTCGGTGTGGTGGGGATGTAAACTGTAAGGGCATCGGAAAGAGCAGGGGCAGGATAATAGATGACCTGTTTGCCAGGCTTGGAAGTTTCTGCTCAGTCAGATGCGTAATGGTAACATCAGATTAATATTTCAAAGTGCTGGGTGTGGTGGTGCACACCTCGGAAGGCTGAGGCAGGAGGATTGCCACAAGGTCAAGGCCAGCCTAAACTACATAGCAAGACCCTGTCTCAAAAAACCAAACAAACAAACAAAAGTTCAAAGTGGAATTCAGGGTAAATTGAAGGGGAAAAAACAAAAAAACCTTGCAGGCTAAACTGAGGCAGTGACTGGAAGGAATAAGTGGTTTTGAGATGTTTTATAAAGGAGAATGGTTGTGATTGGTGGCAGAAAGGGATCATCTAGTGAAACATGGGACATTGGAGGATGTCCCACGGGCTCTGCCCAGGAGGCAGAGTGGTAGTTTGGGGGCTAGGGTGAGTGGGAGCAAGTGCCAGTTGCTTGACCTGCTGAGTGTTAAGGTTTTTCCAGGACATCTAGGCCAGATGGGAATTGTAGCCTGGAGCTCAGACAAAGAGAGGAGATTGGGAGACCCACTGACTCCCGGATCTCTAGGTGCTTGCCCCAAGGTAGAAGTTTGTGCAGGGAGAGCGTGAAGGGAGGGAAGCTGAGGGTGGGCACCAGAGGAAGGTGGCAAGGGGCTCCTCAGGCAGACTGTGAAGGAACAGCTAGAGATGGAGGAAAATTGGATCCAGCTTGGAAGATGAGAGAAGAAGGTCACCAGGTATTGTCGGGCATGGTGGCGCACGCCTGTAATCCCATTACTCAGGAGGCTGAGGCGGGAGGATCGTTGCGAGTTTGAGGCCAGCCTGGGCTACAAAGTGAGCTCAAAGCCAGCCTGAACTGCATAGTAAGACTGTCTCAAAAAGAAAGAGGAAAAAAAAAAATTCATCAGACATTGAGGAGCAAGAATCAGACGTGACTCAGGCAGGGCGAACTGCCAGGGGTTCCGTGGCTTGGGCACCCGAAATGGCTTGCGTGGCCTCCACAGCAGCACTTTCTGGCAAGTAGTGAGGGTGAGCCAGGCTTCGATCAGTTCAAGAGATTCTTATTTTTAATCTTGGTCCCAATCATCGATTTCAAAGTGCCAGCCAGTCCAAGTCCAGCATAAGCCAGTATAAGTTGATTACTTACGTTCTGAATTTTTTTAGTCATTCTGTGAGATGGACCTTCTTGTGTTCAGTATTAATCTTCCTTTCCAGAACTGGTCCCCCCGCCTACTTTTTTTTTTAACCCTCCATACCTTTGCTGGGCTTTGTATAACCTCAGTTTTGCTTGGTTGTGATTTCAGGCCAAAAGATGTCCTCCGTCTAAGAAGAGAACCCAGTCCGTACAAGGAAAAGGCAAAAGGTAACAGGTTTTCCAAAGTTAGGTACAGTTTGGGTTCATTGGAGAACTCTATATAGTATGGCACGAGTTAGCTAGCAGTGGCCTACACCAATACCTTCTCCAGGGCTTTTGCTACATTCTGTCTTCCCCTACTTTTTTGTTGTTTTACTTTGTTTGCAGTACTAAGAATTAAACTCAGGGACTGCTGAGCTACATGGCCAGCCATTTGTGTTTTTTAACTTTTGGACAATGTCTCACTTGCCTAGGCGGGATTCGAACTTACAATCCTCTTGCCTTCCTGGTAGCTAGGATTCCAGGCACGTGCATCTGCTTCCACTGGTTTTCAACCCAGAAAGGGAAAATACGGCTGAGAAGAGTACAGTAGGAACTTGATATTATGTTGACTTACTTGATGGTCCACGTGTACAGCTACCAGAATTAGCCACAGAGTGGCTGTCACTTTCCCATAAGTGGCTTTCTTGAAATGGCCTAGGTCCGTGGGCTTGAACTGATTATGCTGGATTCCACTGTAAACTGTTTCAGAGCACAAGGGCACAGCTGAGGGAAGTAGGCGTTGAGATGCATGCGTTTCTGAAGGAGAGAGCACCTCTTTTCTCCTTGGATGCAGGAGGCAGCAGGACAGGAATTCCAGCTGGGAGCCTTTGCCTTGCCAAGGCTAGAGGCAGACTGTTTGTGGTCAGAGTCTGGCTCTTCCCTACCTGGCTGTGTCCTCTTGGGCAAGTTCTTTAAACTGTGTACCACAGTTTCCCCATCTGTAAATGAAGACATGAATAGTGTTTATCTCTGAAGGTGGCTGGGAGGGTCAGTGTCTGCCATGATCAGTGCTCTCCGTGTGTTCCCTATCTTCTGCTCTCATTGCACCTGAGAGTTGACATACTTCATGCCTGTTTCTTACCTGTAGGCCAAGCTATGACAACCTTGTGACCCCAGCTGTGGGCCGATTGGAGTTGTCTATGGTGAAGCCAACTCCAGGCATGACACCCCGGTTTGACTCCAGGTGAGCAGTGCTTGGATGCAGGTGGGAGCCCAGCAGTGAGTAGCACTGAGAAGAAGGAGAGTGTGAGAAATGCTCCTGAGCCTCGGCAAGGGAGCCCTCTCAGTTTCCCACTGTTCTCAGTAGCACAATGATTCTTTGACTGATTAGAAAAAGGAGGATATTCGGCCTGTGATGATTAGGAAACCTCTGTGTGGTTCTTTTGACTTCTTCTGATCCTTGTCAGAAGCTCTTCAAAGCTAGGTAGGCATTTGTTATACTCTTGGTAGGAGTGGAAGTTGATGCTGCCTTTTTGGAGGCCAACATGAATGAGCATGTTTACAGCACAAGATGATACCTTCCATAGGGGCTGGTTGAACAGTATAGTCCTTACAAGACTCTGTATGTGTATGTGCTCCAGGGAAGAAGCTACATGGTTACAGGCTCTCCAGGCAGGTTGCTGGACAGTGTGTAATATGTGATCCCATTTGCTTCATGTACATGGAAGTTTTCTGGAAAATACAATAGAAATTAAGAGTGGTTACCTGGGGAATGGAGTAAGAAGTGGTTATCTCTGGTGTGGAGAGAATAAGGAATACTTTTTTCCTTTTCTTTTCTTTTTTCTTTTTTTTTTTTTTGTCTTTTTGAGACAGGGTCTCACTATGCAGTTCAGGCTGGCCTTGAGCTCACTTTGTAGCCTAGGCTGGTCTTGAACTCGCAAAGATCCTCCTGCCTCAGCCTCCTGAGTGCTGGGGTTACAGGCATGCACCACCACGCGTGGCTACTTTCTACTTTTAATCCCCACTTTCCTGATTGTTCATACCAGCATGTAGCAAGAGACATTTAAGGGAAAACAGGAGCTACACTTTAAGCATTGAGAAAGTTAGGTTGGAGATTAGTATAATGATGTAATCGGCATCTTCTTCCTTTGACCCTGGGAAGTTCCTCTGATAGAAACACTTAGCCAGTTGGGAATACATTTACTAGGTTATTTCTGGCTCAGTGGATGGGTGGATGACTGGCACCCATGTGGAGCTTTGGTCCTAAAATTTACACAGATAAGGGTTGACTTTTGCTAGATGCATGTTTGATAATTACAACCTCCATTCTCCAGCTGTGTTTAGTCATTGTTGCTTTAAAGAAAAAAGTTTTCCCTAAATTTAGAACTTACTTGCTTAGAAATGTGTGATTTGAAGGCTGCAGCTTGAAACCAGCTGGGAGTTGGACGGGCTCACTGCGTCTGGTATCATTCAGTCTGCAAAACCGTCTTCACCAATCTTTTCTGCTTTGCAGAGTCTTCAAGACCCCTGGCCTGCGCACTCCAGCAGCCAGAGAGCAGATTTACAACATCTCTGTCAATGGCAGCCCTCTCGCTGACAGCAAAGAGATCTCCCTCACTGTGCCAGTGGGCGGCGGCGCGGTTAAGTATTGCCCCAGGAACCAGGCCAACGTGCAGTGCTCGCTGGAGCATTTCTCTGTCCTGGGCACTGTCCGCCGCTCTCCCTCACAGTCCTCTCAGTTGCGTGGGTCCTGATCTCCATCAGAACCGTTTTCTCTCCATTCAGAGGGCCAGACTGGGAAGGTCCCTGCCTGACTCAGGGCTCCATCTGTTTATCAGCTACTAGTGCCAGTGATTACAGCAGACCCGAAGTGGAGACACGGTTCCTGCCCAGTTCAGTAGAGCTAGGTCCTCAATTATAACTTCTGTGATATGTGTATTAATAGAGATCCTAAAGGGAGTGCAGAGGAAGGGACCTCGTCTAACAAGGGTGGCCTGAGCTGTACCTTCAAATCTACAATGTTCGGGATTCTGAAGCATGCCGAGCCTGGCTTCTCTGGGCTGAGAAGAGCAAGTTCACATGAGCTCAGTCCTCATGAGAGGACTCTGTGGTCTGCATGGCATTTCTAAGCTATTGTGCATGCCTTTGTACCCAGATAATCCCGCCAGAGGCCAGTAAGAGCACTGACGACGTCATTATCTCCTTAGGGCTAACACCCCTCCTGCCTACCTTGCCACTTCTCCGTCTTGCCCATCCCTGGATATCAGAGGGACCCCTGGGGCGCCCTCGGCTGCTGGGTGGAAGTTCCTGTCTGAGAAAGGACAGGCCAGTTGAACCTGCTCTTTCTCCACACAGAGCATGCGGTTATTGGCCAGTGACTTGCAGAGGATCGATATTGCACAACTGGACCCAGAGGCCTTAGGAAACATTAAGAAGCTCTCGGTGAGTCTCATATTCATCACCACATATGGAAGGCCTCTAGCACCTTTCTTGGTTTCGCTCTCTTTAAGATTATCTTTTGGGTCTGACCTGCAGGTGATACTTAAGGCCATGTCACCTCTTTCCCCCCAAGAGATTTTGTACTTAAATAGCAGCAGCTCAGTCCCTGGTGTAGAGTTTTGGTCAATTCCCAAGTGCCTGGCACTGAAGTTCTAAAACAAAGTCAGGCAGTTGGCACCAGGGTATGCTTGGGCCCTCCCAACTGGAACCTCCTTACAGTAGCCAAGGAGGAGAGGAGGGTGGGTCCCACGGAATCGAAGAAAGAGCTGAACAGCCAGGCCTTCAGAGCGCTGGGGACCACCAGCAGCGGTTTATGGAAGTCTGTGCTGGGTCACCATCTCTAGCCCCGGCCCTAACCCTCATTTCTCTGCACGTGTTCATTCTCCCTCAGCACATAACCTTCTCCCTAAGGCCCTTGTGCTCGCCCTTAACACTGACTTGTGTGTGCCTTCAGGGAACCACTAATGTTCTTGTTCAGTGCCAACCCTGCTCAGTTTCCTGTCTTAGTTTAAATTCTCAAGAGGAAGGATTTACAGCCCAGCTTTGGTCTGATAAACCTCCCTGGTCCAGTTATCTGTGGTCTTGCGTGGTAGATGGGGTCATGTGATACAAACATGACGCTGTAGTCCCACCCTTCTGCGGGGTCCATGCAAGGCGAACCCGAGGAAGGGGACAAGGGTGGAGCTGGGTTCCTCTCCACACACACACGAAGGTCCCACACACTCAACCATCCAACTCTTGTGTTATATTTAAGTACCACTATTCCCAAATACTCATGCGATGCTTTCACTATCTCATTCAAGATTATATTTTACTCCTTTGTTCAGATGGAAATTGAGTTTCAGAAAGGTCAGAGAGTACGTGATACGAATAGAGGATGGAAGGGCAAAGATTCACTCAGACCTGTTCTTGGGTGGACTGTAAGTGGCTGGCTAGGCATACGTGCCTCGGGCTATCTTTATTTTATTTATTTATTTATTTTTTATTTTAAAGAATAAAAGAAAGATAACATAATAATAGGGGGGACTTAGCAAATTACAGACAAAATGGTAGGAAATTATCAATGGTTATCATTTTACATATCCTCGGGCTATCTTTAAATGACCTTCTAACTCTGCTTTTTAGAACCGGCTGGCCCAAATCTGCAGCACCATACGGACCCACAAATGAGAAGACAGCAGGGCATGTCGGATCGGATTGGAACATGCGTGTCTCCCTTTTCCCCTCCTGTTTCTCCTCTGGTGCAGGGAAGAGACGGGCTTACTAAGGGGGCCCCCAGAATCTTTCACTTGCTGTGCCCAGCAGTTCTTGTCATGCTGATTTGTGGGACAACATTCTGTGTTTATTCCTGTTTATCAAAGACCAAAAATTGCTTGGAGGCAGCTTCCATGTCTTGCACCTCTACCTCTCTAGTTAATGGGAGTTTAGATAAGGGAACCGTAGGGCTTAGAGTAGTCTAGGGTTTTACGTGACCAACCAGAGTAACTGTCTCTAAGCTGTCTGATCCAGTGGTCCCTGCTGAGTCTGCCAACTGCATCTGATGGGGATGGGAGCCTCGGGAGGACAAGTGTAACTTGTCTGGTGACCTCGTTCCCTGTGTTTAACCTATGCCCAGGGCAAGGACTAGTTATGAGAAGTCAGCGGTGAGACCTTTGTGCTTCAACAGCCTCTCTGCCCTAAAGGATCATGACCTGTGCTCTGAGAATTTGGGAACCGGTGTTCTCATCTCCAGGCCTGTGGACACACAGCCTCCTTCTGTATGGCTCTTGGTTATATTTTGTATTACTAATTCTGTCCTGCATAGACTGACTTGTTTTCAAGTTGTTTTATCCTCCCTTTCTTAAGACTTTTGTACATACTGTCTTCCTGAGTGATGGTGTTCCTGCTTTCAATAAATTCTGGTTTGGTTTTTTAGTTAATATTCTCAGCTGTGCCACATGGACAGGGGTGATGGTTTTGGAGCTAACGCTATTAGAGTGGGCGTCACTGGACAACTGCCTTCCTCGTGAAAACCCTGTAGGCAAAACCTGATACCTGAAGGGGTTCACACCCCAAGATCCAAGGCACAGTGACGTCAGCCCCTAAGCAGGTTTCTCCAGCACCTTCATTTCAGGAACTAGATGTTTACAAGGACAAAATCAAGTCTGTCTACAGTAAAGCTTCAGAGTGAAACTTCCTCGGCCAGGACAGAGCAGGAGTGAGGTGACTTGGTGGTCATGCTGTTCACTCTCTTAAGTCGCCAGGGACTGGCAGACCTGCCTTCCTAGAACTGCCCACGCTGCATGCTCAGCTCAGCTAGGTGGCCAGGGGTTCTACGGAGCCATGAGTCAGCCAGGTTGTGGGGCACAGATAGTTAAAGAGAAGCCGCCCTTTCGTCAGTGACATGATTTGGAAGAAAGATTATTCAGTGCGAGGCAGTAACCACACCTGAGGTTTCTACCTTGCCCTCTTCTACTGCAGCACTGAGAAAGGCCAGACTTCAGGGATCACCTAGGGCCCAACATGCTTTTCCCAGAGCCAGATTCACCCTAGTTCACTCCATCCACGCCACTGGCAAGACAAACCTAGTTGTACAAAATGCTTAGTATGCAACAGGTACTGAACGAAGGCCTGTGATTGAGTTAGGGCATTCCATGCTGTAGAACAGGCTAGTTTGGTATTTTGTCTTTGTTGTTGCCACTGGGGTTTTTGGTTTTTTTTAACGGTACTGGGAATTGAACTCATGACCTCATGCTTGCCAGGCAGGTGCTGTGCCACAGCTAAATCCCCAGCCCCTACTGGGGTTTTTTTTGGAAACAGGATCTCACCTCTAGTTCAGGCCTTGAACTCACTATGTAGCCCAGGCTGGCCTCAAACCCACAGCTATCTGCCTGCCTAGGCCTCCCATGTGCTAAGATTACAGGCATGTGCCATTATGCCTAACTAAAAGCTAGTTTGGAAGGTAGAGCTCCCCATCCCAGAAGTTTAACTCATGGGCTGAACTATGTCACAGGACTGGGGTATTGCAAAGAAAATTTCGATCCTAAGTGCCATAGCCCACAGACATAATTCCACTCTCACTTTTTTGGTTGGTTTGGGTTTTTGTTTTAAATTTTTGATAAGTTTCTATAATTTTGGTTTGTTTGTTTTTGAGACAGTCTTGCTATATAGTTCAGGCTGTCCTTGAACTCACTATGTAGTCCAAACCCAGGGCAGCCAGTCCTCCACCTCAGCCCCCCAAATGCTGAGATTACAGGCATGCACCACCACACCTGGTTCTAAAAATCTTTAAAATTTTTTTATCTACATTGAAATTTTTTCTGATCTATATAGTACTTTAATACAATTTGCAGAGCATATTACAATTTTTGTTTTAAAATTTTTATATTTTATCTGAAATAAATATTTGTAAAACTCTTACTCAACAAAAGCAAAGTTGTTAGGAAAGTTGTTCATTTTGAAGGATAGCAGCGGAGACCATTTCCTCATTAACTCAGGGGTTTAGCACACTTTTATGGTTTGTTTTGTTTTTTGTCTTTTTGAGTCAGGGTTTCACTGTGCAGTTTAAGCTGGCCTTGAACTCACTTTGTAGCCCAGGCTGGCCTTGAACTTGCAGTGATCCTCCTGTCTCAGCCTCCCGAGTGCTGAGACTACAGGCCTGTGCCACCATACCCAGCCACTTTTATGGCTCTTGAATACAACCAAGAATATGGTATTGATAACAAAATATTACATACCTACGTATCTTGAAACAGTCAAGATAAAAGGACCAGCTTTTGATTTAAATAATGAATTTTAAAAGTATCTTTAGAAATACCCTTCTCCAGCTACTGCTGACACCTTCCTTTATGCCCTTACAAAGCAAGGCCCAGAAATCACAACGTCCCAGGTTTCCACACGCACTCCCATTGGGGCAGCTGTTAATCTTTCTCATGCCACTTTCCTGGCCACACACCTCTCCCTAGCTGACACCACAGCTGCCTCGCTGTTCACCTTTGCAAACTGGTGAGCTCTCGTTCTTTGCCCTGCTCTTGCCTTTCCTCTCTGAGTCTGTGCTTTGCGCCCAGTAATGTTCAGATCCAGGGGACTTCTCTTGGTTTCTTTCTTTCCCATTTTCCTCATCTTGCTGGGTCTCTCCTGGTTAAGAAACTTGCCTTTGCCTTAGGATTTGATTTGCTTTGCCTTCTTTTCTCTGACTTCTTTCTGACGATTACATACTTCTTGTTCCCCACCTCTGTATTTATCATTATTTTCATATACTTCCTTGCTTTCATGTGTTCTTCCTTTTCTTTGCTCCTCTCTGCCCTCTCCCCACCTCTCACTGTATCAGTCATGATCATTTTGTTGTCTGTCGTTCTGAAGAATATTTCTCCGTTTTCTCCCTGTCAGTTCTCTCTGGTCTCTTCCGCTGGGCTTACCTTCTTCATGCCTGCTGTGGTGGGAATCTCTATGCCTGCTCTCTGAACGTATGCGAACCGTTTGCTCCTGGGTGGTGATGGTCAGTACAATAGTCTCTGGAGTTTTCCTGCCTCTCTTGGTGCTGATCTTCCTTTTTCTTGTGCCATCTGGACTTGAAACTTTTGGTGTGGTGTTTGGCACCATACCACTTTCTTCACTAGATGACCTTGGGTGGGTTTGATTCTTGTGATGCTTGGAGTAATGCCTGGAAGTCTCTGACCTTTTCTCTTCTGCAGTTCACTTTATTTTCCTCAGTTTCATCCTCTTCACTGTTAGTATCGAAGTCACTGCCTGGAATGGGTTTTCCTCCTCCTTTCCAGGAGTTTGGAGAATTCATTTCTCCTGTGGTATTCTGCTCTCTTCATTTATTTCATCTGAGTAACCTCTTCATTTCTCTTTCTTTATTCAAGAACTGGCTTCATGAAAGCTGCATTTAGTACTTCCTCACCAGCTGCGTTACTAGGTGCCCTTTTTCTCTTCTTCAGCTCTTTCTTACATTTTTTTGTTTTGTTTTTGTCTTTTGAGACAGGGTCTCGCTATGTAGTTCAGGCTAGCCTTGAGCTCACTTTGTACCCCAGGCTGGTCTCGAACTCACAACGATCCTCCTGCCTCAGCCTCCCAAGTGCTGGGAACAGGCGTGCGCCACCATGCCCGGCCCTCTTGCAGTTTTTTTTTTAAATAAGCAGATGTCACAAATGCCTTATCTTCAAATTCTCATTTTTCCATCTCTTATTCTCTTATTTTCTTTTCCATTCTTTTTCCTGTTTCTTTTTTCTGATCTCAACTGCTTTTTGTAAGTTGCGGATATACCTGGGCTTTTGATCTTTTCCCCAAAGTAACTGGGATTACTTTTCCTCATTTTCTTCCTGTATGTCATCATAAATACTGGAATATTCATATACAGTGGACTCTTCCATATTCAAGTTTGGTCTGTGCCACAGTCTGCTCTTTAGCTTCCTTATGAAGACCGTCACAGTTATCATCATCACAGTCATTCCCAAACACTGATAGCTTTTGCAAAATAGGGTGCAACTGCAGTGTTTTCTGTGGCAAAATAAGCCTATGCCTCCTGCCTAGAATTGCCATCTTGCTTCCGTCTCAGTTGCTAGCAATTTTAAAAACAGCCTCCAAAAATAAGGTCTGGCAACACAGGCCCACAGTCAGCTAGAGAGGAGTAGCAGCTTTCCTTGGCCTTTAGAGAATCCTCTTCTGGCACTAGGCAATCCCTATGGATTGCTTCTTCCCCTGGTGTCACCTACCTTGGAGTAATGCCTGGAAGTCTCTGACCTTTTCCCTTCTGCAGTTCACTTTATTTTCCTCATTTTCATCCTCTGCACTCCTAGTATCAAAGTCACTGCCTGGAACTGAGTTTTCCTCCTCCTTTACAGGAGTTTGGAATCCTTCTGGGCAATTTGGTTTATGTCATTTCCTATGGGAACAAGATAACTCAAAGTAGAACTGCTCTGGGCAAAGAGTAGATAGGAGCCTGAGGTCCTTCCCTGGGACCTCTAGGCAGACTCAAGGACCCCCAGAGCTCCAATAAAGAGTAGGTTCCTTGTTCCTCTACAAGGCATTCTCTACCTGGGGCTTCCTGATGAAAGTATTGCCTTATGAAGCTTAGATTACTCATTTGAAAAGCTAATTCATGAGGGGCAGGTATTGGGAGGCAGTTTCAAACCACCTGACCACGTTCTCAAAAGCATTAATAGCCTATTTCCACCAATGATAGTTGATGTACCAATGAAAGGCTTCCCTCCTTAGTATGTCCCCATGACCACTGAAAAGCAAGTGTACCAATGACTAAAGTGTGCGTAAGTGTTTTCCTTTTTTATTTTACACGATAACTATCCCACACTTAAAATTTAGCATGGTGCATATCCAAGAGTTTTTACTAGGCTGGGTGTAGTGGCACACGCCTGTAATCACAGCACTCAGGAGGCTGAGGCAGGAGGATCTCCAAGAGTTTTGGGCCAGCCTGGGCAACAAAAGCAAGTTCAAGGCCAACCTGAACTGCATAGTGGAACTTGTCTCAAAGAAAAAAAATAGATTTTATACTAGATAATTTAATATTTTAAATCTAGATACTAGATAAAAGATTTTATACCAGATAAAAGGTTTTATACTACATAAGTTATACTAGATAATTTTGTACTAGATTTTATACTAGATACTAGATTTTATACTAGAAATTAAAGTGCTGAAAGACACACAAGGGTTCAGTCAGAATTGGGGTCTACTCAGTGGGTGCTCCCTCATTTGGTATAGTCTGGAATCTAATTTGCTTTAGCAGAGTGCCATCTCCATGGTACTCCAGGATGCGGTGTTTCTTTAGCCCTTTATCTCTCCTGTGCCATCTTCCATCTTCCTGAACCTATCAAGTATGTCACCTCTCCTCTCCCGCTAACTGCCAGCCTGCTGGGACTTCTTTACACTGCTGTCAGCCTTCCCGTGGTTGACACTAGGGTTTGTGTAATAGTGTTTTCTGATCCTCAGTGATGGCCACAGTGGAGGACAGATGTATTCTTGACACCAAGATACTAAATGCACACGTTCAGCGCCCACAAGCACACTGCAAGACAGTGCCAAGAACCGTGGGGGCGGAGAGGTGGCAGGCTCCAGGAGTGCACCTCAGATCGCCCGCAAAGGTCACGCTGGCGAACCGCGGCTTGATGCATCGAATGCCTTGGCTGGTGGTCAGGAAGAATGTCATGGAAAGAACACAGTGGCAGCAGCGGGAAAAGGGCGCCCACCTGGGAAGGCATGTAAGTAAGGTGTTTCCAACAGGGAAATAAGTTCAGATTTTCAGCTTCTCTTGTACACATATACAAGCAATTTTGGTCAAAGCATCTTCCGTGTCGGTTCCCAAGATGCTGAGAGATCATGAGGTCATCCATGATGGGAGTCAGTTTCTGACTCTGCTGCTCCAAGACCTCAGGGCCCCACCTAGTAAAACAGAGTGGGAAGTTCCTAAGGAAAATAACAAGATGTTTTTTAAAGATACTGGCAGGCACTTCAATTTCAATGGCAAAAGATAAAGAGGTTGAAGACGGTGCAGTTTGGCAAGTTTCACTCACCTCCTGAACAGTGAAATGGGCATGACGTTAGGAGCTGAGGTGCCTCTTTTGAAGTCCAGAACTCAGGCACCGGTTAGCAAAGCCAAGAACTCACCACTGGGTTTTCCCCGGGGCTTCCTCTCTCCTTCCAGGGACTAGTGAGGCAGCACCCTCCCCTCGGCTCCTGAAATGTCTAGAATCGGTGCCTATTGCCAATCATGCTTTTTACTTAATTTATTCTTCTATTAAGCAATGAGGTCTTAACTTCCCAGTGCTGGCTGATAGTAGGCGCCCAGTACATGTTCACTGAGGACAAAGAGTGGGCTCACTGCCCAGAGAATTCACTGTCTGTTTCAATTCCTGACCGTAGCCAGGTGTGGCACACACCTGGAAGCCCAGCACTTGGGAAGCTGCGGGAGGAGGATCACCTTGAGTTCAAGGCCAGTCCGGGCTAAATAGTGAGACCCTATCTCAAAAAGAAAAATAAATAGTGAGAACCTATCTCAAAAAGAAAAAAAAATTCTTGACCATACACAGTAGATCTGCCTGGTGGCTCACACTTTACTAGTATTAATATTCAGGGCACCCCAGGAGCCAGGCCTGTGTTAACTCAGGGTTCCTCTGTTCCCTGGTGGCATGCTGTCCTGGGACCGACCTCAGCAAAGCCACATTCCTAGCATCTCCAACCCACTCTTCATCTATTCCTCCTCACGGGCTTGTTTAATGGACCTGGGGGAGAAGGAAGGACCTGCTTGAATCAATTCCATCTGTCTTCCTCCACATCTGCCTTCCCACAAGAAAGGCACTCCGGTCTTTCCCTCACCATGTGGCAGCTGAGTGGGCAGGGGAGGCCTGTGCCATCTAGTCAGCCTGGCACTGGAGTGTCTAGTTCAGGGGAATGATGGGAAATACTGTCCCCAATGTACCATACCTCACTTATTGGAGATTTTACATTTTACACATCTGGATGTCTTTGAAAATGGGATGCATCTGCCAGCCAGATGGCATGACATGGTTTAACTAGTTGGAATGTTTCTTTCCTAGTCACGTGTCCTACACTCATTGGCATCTTAGATTCAAAGGAACATGGTAAGCAACATTCTCCAGTTAGGCTTGTCAAGGAACTGGTAGGTTAATCTCCATCTGTTCCAGTGAATTAGAACTCCGTTGGTTCCAGGTACAAGAGAGGAGGAACAGGGTGTTACTGGTCAGCACTGCCCCACCCCCTGCACTAGGCACCTCCCGCGGCTCAGACCACGCAGATGAGTGGGATGTCTTCCGCAGCCTGTGAACAAGAGCAGCCAGCCTGTAAGAGGAAGCACTAGCGAGCCAATCCAGGGTGGCAAAGGCTTGTCCCACGCACACAGTGCCAGGGCCTGCTCCAGCACTCCTGGCCGCACATCTCCCTTCACTCTAGTCACCATCCTAGCCTCCGCTTCCTGCAGCCTTTGCTGCACTCCTCAAAAGATTCCCTAGCTCCACACCCCAGTTTGCTCATGTGGTTTTTGCCACTCCTCCCCGACTTGACTAGGGTTGAATTGGGTGCACCCCAGACTCGGTGCTGAAGTCCTAACCCCCACTAACTCAGAATGTGACCATTTTTGGAGACAGGATCTTTAAAGGGGAGATTAAGTTAAATGAAGCTTTAAGATGGGCCAATATGGACCAGTCTACTCTAGCTGCTGTCCCTAGAGAATGGAGTAACCGACACTAAGAAGAAAGGCCATGAAGAGACACAGGGAGAAGTCAGCCATCTACAAGCCAAGAAGAGACCCGCAGAGCAGATCCCCCTTCACAACCTTTGGCAGCAGAAGGAAACAACCCTGCCGACACCGTGATCTTGGACTTCCTGTCACACAGCGGTGTGGATATCCCCTCCTGCTGGGCAGACCACCCAGTTTCCAGTGCTTCATGACACTGGCCCACATAAACGAACCCAGTCCCTGACAATATCCAGACTGACAGCCACTCTTCACCCTCTGCTGCCTGGTTTCTCTATTTCACACTGTAATGACACTTTCTCGGGCTGCAATGGCACAACCTCTTCTGGCCTCTGCTTCCCTCCCACTGCTTCTCACATTCTGCCTCCTGGCCCCGCTCCACCCAGTTAGCTCCTAATGCTGGAGTTTCCCCAGGTTCCCTTCTTCTGCACACACTGACCCAGGTGACCTCCCCACGGTGGCTTCAGATCCCGAAGCCTGTCACTAGCACATATCTGTGCTTCAAGTTCCAGACCCAGTGTCCGCCTGCATCCCAGACACCTCAGCCTGCACCTCCCACCAGCATCTTGAACATGCAGCCAACTAATTTCCTGCCCCTGCCCTCTATAGGGTCAATCTCAGGAAAGGCATCTCCTTAGGGATGTTGTCCTTGGTTTACTGCTCTGGAAGCTGGGTGACACCATTTTCTACAGCCCCAGGGCACCCAAAATGTTCCCTATACCCTAACCACACCATTATGTCACGCTCCCTCAACGTGTCCCCACTAGCCTGTGGCATACATCATGAAAGGACTAGGGTCAGTTTTACATCCATGCAGAGGGATCTCAGATAAGACACTCTGGAGACCCCAGGAGGGGATGAAGGAACCCTCCCACAAACTGCTCGGAGGCTAAAAAACTACCACTCAAAGAGGCACGGTATCACAGACAAGTTTTTATTTGTCCTGCATATAGAACCCAAGAAATATAAAAACATCTCCAAAATTAGTCACCTCCCCAAAAGGCCCCCTCCCTTCCTGGGTGGGCCGACAGGGGCGATGGGGGTTGCAGGCCACCTCCTTCTGTCCAGTGAACAAGTTCCATACAAAAATAGATCTTTAAAGGGCTCCTCGAGACCCATCGCCCTGCATCAGGCCAGCACCTGCATAGGGCTAAGGCCTGGGACCCACAGCAATTCTGGACCTCACTCCTCAGCGGAGGGGAGATCTACCCTGGATGCCGAAGTCCTCCAGCACAGCCAGGAGTCCCTCCACAGAACAGCTGGGGAAGGGAGCACTTTGACCTTAGGAGAATGAAGTGGCTGGTGAGGGGGGTGGGTTTCTTGTCTACCCAAGACAGGGCGCTGGTCCCCAGGGTTCCCTGGAGAGAGTGGTGAAGGGAGAGATGGGGGTGCCTGGCAGGGGACCGCCAACCCTGTCCAAGGTGGAGGCAGTATTTAGTCTGCCCCACTACCCCTAAAGCCACTGAGCTGACACAGGTCTCAGAGACGGGGTAGCCCAAGTGTGTGTGTAGGCTCCAAGGAGGGTGGAGCTGTTGCTGGCAGGGTGAGGCCAAAGGCACAGCTGGAGTCTCCATCTTCCATCACAGGTCCTCCTCAAAGCTGCACAATGCCTTTCAGCCCTATGGTTCCTCAGGGGGTCCCTGCTGAGAATCCTCTTGTCCTAAGCCTGCTTCCTTGGCCTGCTGAGATCTCCATCTTCCCAAGGTTCTGTCGACTTGTGCTCCAGCTAAGATGCCTTTCTGGACAACCCTCACTATACATGTGTCAACAGCGTGTCCATCAGCTCACCCTCTTGCTGACCCCAAGGGCTCCTGGGGGGCCCTGGCCACTGGCGGAATGCAGTTTGTTAACTTACTTGTTGCACCTGAGCTCATCTCCCTGCCCATCTGAGCCCCCAGGGCCAGGCTCTGCGTTTCCTTCACCTCTCCTGCACCCCTCCTCTCTTCCTTCACAGCCCATTCCCCCAAACCCCCACCCCACACAGCCAAACCACAGCAGGCATCTGGCATAGGTGACATGAACAAACTCTGCCTCCACAGCCCTGACCACATCTAGGCCCTGGCCATACAATCACCACTGCTGCAGGGCCTTTCTGAATAAGAACTTCTAGAATCAGCTCAATACAGCCACTCTCCACGGCTCTACAGAAACCAGAGGGAGGAGGTGCTCCATGGAGGCAGGCTCCAGGGACCGAGGTGGCAGCACAGGGTCACCTCTAGAGAATCTACTGGGCTGCCTCACAGAAGAGGGCTGGCACGACATGGCAAGGCCAAGGACTCCCTCCAGAGCCAGCCTCCTCCCTAGATCGGCTTCCAACCTCACTCTGGCCCTGAGTTTCACCAGCTGATTTCCCCACCGCACAATGCTGTTTCTGAGTGTCGTCTTCACCACTGCCCAGGATGGAGAGCAAGGCTCACAGATCTCCATGGAGAGAACTGTCCCCTCATGCTCTGCCAAGTCAGTTCATAAAGTGAATGCAAATGGGGAGCCTTGGGGAGCCCCAGGGGAGCACCAGGACCACTCAGCCCAGCCAGGACCCTCCCATTCATTCTGCACTGCCAGTCTAGGATGAGGACACAGCTCCTGAGTCTTGGGCCTTGGAGTCCAGCCCCTGAGCTCAGCACCACTTTCACCTCCCTGGGCCTCAGAGCAGACACACCTCAGCCAGCCAGGGAACAGCGGGTAAGGAGCCTTCCTTTCCAGCATAGCCCAGTGGCCCAGATACCTGGCAGCTGTGGTCACTGCCTCTCAGGGGCCCATGCTGTCTGGCTGGATGGCAAGTTTGTGGGAAAAGGGGACACCCATTGGGGAGGCCCCAACCTCCAGGGGTATGGAAGACAGAAGGGCATGAGCCGGAGCAAGCAAAATCTATTGGCTCTCCAGGTCTGTCCCAGCTCTGTCCCTGAGACCCTGAATTTCCTCCCCACAGTTCTGAACCCTTTTTCCAAGGGCACTAAGCCAGAGGGGAAAATGGGAGAAGCAAGCAGTGAAATGGGGGACACTGTGGCCCCAAACCAGCTCTGGGAAGAAAAGTGTTCACTACCACCCAGGGGGAGCACAGTTTGCCAGGGTCCTTGCTTGGGCAGGACTGGGATCTGGCCCCTGCTGGACCTGCCTTGGAAGAAAAGGGGCACTCACACCTGCACCCCCTGGCCCTGCAGCTGCAGCACTCGAGCCTGCAGGGCGCTGATCCCACTCAGGAGGGCCTCTCGATGTTCAGCGGAGGAGATGCCCAGGTTCACCAGGTCCCTGGAACAAGGGCTGCTCAGACCCAGCTGGTCAACCCCGCTTCAGCTCCTCCCACATCGCCCCCTGCTTTCCTTCCCTCCTCTGGATGGGGCAGGGCCAGGATCAGGACAGGCAGGGGCTTCCCATTTAGGCAGGGGCAGTGTCCCTGCTTTGGCTTCTCAGACTCACTGGGAGGTCATCTCTGCCACAGTCTCCAAGCTCCCATAGCCAGCCGCCGCAAAGCTGTCCTTGTAGCGGCACAGGTCCAGGGCCTCCAGCCAGGCCCCCACAGAGCCAAAGGAAGGAAAGGTGGAGAAGGCACGGTCCGCAAGGGGAGTGGGAGGCCTAGGGAGGAGGTCTGTGGTCAGCTGACAGTGGGACCTGGTGCCCAGACCTCGCTGCTCCCTGGGAAAGATGGGGAAAGGGAGGGCAGCCAAGCCCCAGGGACAGACCTGGCATTCCCAGCACTTTGCAGCCCAGAAGAGGCAAGGCTCAGGGTACTCAGGCAAGTGGAGAGCTGAGCTTGCTAAAGGGACTGGCAGCATCTGGGACAGTTTAGCTACATGTAGGATGCAAGTATGGCAGGTGACATATATTTGGAACTGATACTAAATTCACTTATTTTAATTGAACTATATAGGGGGGTGCACTGTAGATATATTTATCCAGTCAATGGTCACTGTACGGGGATATGTGGACCAAAATCCAGGACAAGTGGATGTGAGGTAAGATGTACCTGAGATAGGTGGGAGTGTTAGCTCTATCTGGGGCACCTGCTGAGTGGCGCTACCCAGAGAGGTGAGGTGTTGTGTTTTGGACACTGGGGAAGCCATTCATGGACAGGTGAGAGGTCGGCTGAACCTGGTATGGATGGGGATCAATGGGAAGGTACCTGGGACAGGTGGTTGTGGCACACTTCGAGGGTTCTGGGTCCTGCACCATCTTGCTCAGGATGCTGTGGATCTGGGAGAACCTGGGCCGCTCACCTGGGTCTCTCTGCCAGCAGTCAAGCATCAGTCGGTGCAGCGGGGAGGGACAGTTCCTAGGGGGCGGCAGCCGGAAGCCATCTTCCACAGCCTTGATCACCTGGGCCATGGTGATGGGAAGTAGACAGGAGGCTCCAGGTCCCCCCAACACACACTCAGATACACACATATGCACGCACACATACACACCCAGCCCATTCCAAGGACTCAGGTAGTGGCCAGGCAGGGTGGGAAGCAAGTAGACAGAGAAAAGGGACCTGGAGCTAGGAGGCGAAGGGTCAAAGGTAGAAATCAAGGAGCTGGAGCCACGGGTCACTCACATCTTGGCCAGACATGTCCCAGTAGGGCCGCTCACCGAAGGCCATCACCTCCCACATGACAACACCAAAGCTCCACACATCACTGGCAGAGCTGAAGTGGCCAAACTGAAGTGTCTCAGGGGCGGCCCAGAGCGCTGGGCTCCGGCCACTCTGTTGGTGGGCAGGCAGGCCAGGGCAGGAAGAAACTGAGTCACAGCCAGGCTTCCCCACCCCACATCCAGCCTCACCCGTCATTCTCCGAGGCAGCTCCCCACTCCCAGCTTCACGCTTGGGGAAGGCATCCCACCCACCACAGTGCAGGGCCCACGGTGGCCTTAACTCAGGACCAAATGGGTGGAAGGGCAGGGTGGGAAGGGACCCTAACAGAGGGTCTTGGGGGGCAGGACAGAGACTCCTGGGGAAAGGACCCCTCACCATGGTGGTGTAGACAGCCTCGGCTCGGTCTCGAGGGCCCCGCCCAAAGCCAGAGAGCTTACAGATGAGGCCACTGCTGACCAGCACACGGCGGGCGGCGAGGCCCCGGTGGACATAGCCCATCTCCGACAGATACTTCATGGCTGATGCCAGTCCAGGCAGGAGCCCCATCAGCTGCTCAGCCACCAGCCGCCCCTCATGATGCTGCGGACGGGGGGAGACTGAGGCCAGGGCTTTACACTCAGATCACCTGGTGCTGTGGACTCCTAGGAGGCCACTTAGCCCTCACTGGGCTTCAGTTTACCCTGTGGCCCCTAGGTCAGCACGGCCAGGGGTAATGAGGCCAACTCCAAGCCCACCAAGGAGAAAGTGAAGGACCAGGAATAAGCTGGTCATCCATACCCCCCGGGGCCCAAGCCACTCACCCTGAGGAAGCTGTCCAGGGCCCCATGGCCCATGTACTCAGTAACAATCATCAAGGGGCTTCCTGTGCCAGGGGTGGGGACACACACACTAAGTCGCCTGGCTACTCTGCACACACACGTTCCCTCCATGAGACCCTGTCTTGGCTAACATGGCCAGAACCAAAGTCAAGCTCCCTAATCTTGCTACTCTTCTCCTCAACCCAGCATCCCCCAGGCAGAGTAACAAAAGAAGTGTGTGTAGGGGAACAGAGGCCACCATCAGGAATTAGAAGCTAGCTAAGATCATCCAGGGTCAAAGTGTTTCAACCCCCCAGTGGCACTATAAGTCAGAAGGTCATTCCAGGTGAGTGACCACTCCAGGAGAGGGATCACCCTGAATCAGTGAAAGCAAACTAAGACCTATATGTCTAGGCTTCCTCTTTCATGACTCCTGGAGCCCCCCCACCCCCCACATCTGTCCTTCCCGCAGGAAGTGCAGAACCAGGCAGGCCTACCTCTGGTGACAACCCCCTCCAGTCGCACAATGTGGCTGTGGTCAAACTGGCCCAGAGTGAGGGCCTCAGCCAGGAAGCTGAGCCTTTGCGAGTCTGAGCAGCCATCTCTCAGCGTGTGTACAGCCACAGGCAGCTCTTGGCGGCCAGGGAGCTGCAAGCAGCCACAGCACAGGTCCCCAAACCGCCCTGTGGGGAAACAGCACCTCAGTTGGCCCCCTGAAGGCCACCCCCACCCCCAGTGTCCAGCGAGGCAGCCTGAACTGAGGAGAGAGTGACTCTGGCCTGGGGTGTGGAACTCCTGAGTTCTCACCCTGGTAACCTGAGTCCCAGCAGTGTGACCTTGAAGTGGGAAGGCTGGGGTGGCCTGGTGAAGGGGTTCTCTGTGCCCACAGGGGGCACAGAGAATGGGCTTCACCTCGTTCCCCATAAAGTTTCGGGACATGACACTGCACATTCCAGCCCTTCACGGGCCATTAAGCCCAGCAGGAGCCAGGACAGGTGATAATGACATCTATTCTGCCTTTTGTGCAGCAGGCTGGTGACAGTGTCAGGAGTGTCTGTTGGGCTTCTCTGAACACATGGGGCAAGGGATCATGGACAGGTACGAAGGCAGGGGGAAACTGACCTGAGCAAGCAAGCTCACCACATCACCCGGAAGAGGCAGAGGTCATGCCCATCTTACAGATGAGAAACTGAGGCTCCAAGTAGAGGAGGATCGGGCCCTGTGATGCAGCTTATTGGTGGCAGTGCCACAACTAGAACTCCTCTTATAAAGGCCCCTCTTATTGCCTCTTGAAGGCCAGGCACTAAAGGGCCAGCAACAGACTGCAGCGGCTGACCCTGAGTGGGACTGGACAGAGAGGTCTTACAATGACCCTGGGAACCCAAGAGGGCAGACAGAGTCACAGATCCTTCTGGTGGGCAAGGCTCTGTGTGGAGGGGCTCTGTGTGGCGAGGAGCCCCCAGAGTCACAGATAAGCCTCTCAGGAGGCGGGCTGACCAGAGAGGCAGGTGGGTGGAGCATCTGGTTGGGTGGGACCAGATGGGCGTGGCTTTGGTGGGTCCGGCCTGCGGGAGGAGCTTCCATGGGGCCCAACTCACCTGCTCCAAGGCTCCTCTCCAGAGTGATGCTTTTCGCATCCAGCTCCTTGGCGAACAGATGCACAGCCTGCAGCGGGTCCCCGCAGCTCTGGGGTTCCAGGAAAGTGCGACGCGTTGGGACTTTGACTGAAAACACAGGGTGAGAAAGCCCGAGCCCGAGGAAAGGGGCCTCACTGCTGAGGCAGGAGGGGCTAGTGAAAGGGCAATCAGCAGAGAGGTGGGTGAAGCCCACCCTTTCCGGTGACTCCACAACTCACAGTGGAAGTACAGCTCCTCTTCCTCATGGGCATCGCCACCTCCTTTGCCATAGCTGCAGGGCCTGCGGGCACAGAGAACCCCTTCACCAGGCCACCCCAGCCTTCCCACTTCAGCACCCAGGAAAACACTTCTGTATCCCAAATAACAAGGCTTCCACCCTGGGGAGCGACTTTTTGTCCTGCCGGTTTAAAGACTTCTGCATTGTTCCTTCTCTTTTCCTTTCTGATTTTTACATCCCCCTTCTCCACAGTTTGGCAACCTCCTCCTCACAGCACTCATATAACTAAGTCCCAGCCGAGCCCCGCACCACCATCAGCTTTCCTAGTTACTGCCACTGTGAGATACCATAAAAACACTGGTGACTCCAGAGGCTCCCGCCCTAAGCTGCCCCTGCCTGCATTCCGGAGAGACAGGAGACAGGCAGCCCCTGTCCTCAGGTGCAAAGGAGAAGGCAATGACTACCGACCACAGCAGACCACCTGACCCACTGGGACCATCACAGAAATCTTGAGACAAGAGGCAGTTATGGACTAAAGGCCGGAGTCACAATCAACGGAGCCAGAGCCAGAGGCGAGCATTTGTTGCCCCCAGGCAGGGTCTTGCTGGGCCAGATAAAGACTCTGCCCTTTATTCTGGGAGCAGGGGCGGTGCCTGGGGACCTAAAGCAGGAGAGTGCCGTGCTTCAATTTGCATTTTAGAAAGATCATCCCAGCTGCTGAGTGCAGAGTGCTCTGTGGTCCCTGCAGGAGGCCGACAGTGGTTCGGGCTGTGGGGTGATCATGCCAGGAACAGAAAAGAAAGGGGCCTCAGGGCTTGGAGACTGCTGGACGGCAGAAAGGTGGATGGAGAAGTTGCTCCGCAGAGTTCATTGAGATGCCATCACCAAGATGGGGAGATAAAAGGTGTACATTTAGACATCTGATGAAACCTAAAGATGCCACGGTCTCCTGATGATGTAGAGAGCATTGATAGTCTGTGGTGCAAACTGTTTAATGTGCAACACAGAGCCACTTCATTATCCTAGCTCTAGCTCACTATGCAGTGAGACCCTCTCTCAAAAAAAAAAAAAAAAAAAAAAGAAGCAAGCAAGCACAGAGAAATGAAAAGACCATGCAGCGATGGATAGCTAAGAGCTCAGGATGCCAGCCTCCAGTGAGAAGCGAGTGAGTCAGGATGGGCGACAGAGGTGGGGAGGAGAGGTGCGGGGACCAGAGCACAGAGCAGGCACTGAGGGACATGCAGAGGGCACGGTGAGAGATGTCAAGTCTGCGAGCTGGGGATGCCTGTAGGGGAGTCAGCTTCTCGACCCCTCAGCCCGGCCACTTCTCCCCACTGCAGTGTGGTGGTGGCGGTGGCGAGTGAGCCCCGCTGTTGGCTCGCTGCCACCTCTGGTGCACCTGGCTCCTCAGCATTCCTGGCGTCTGCTCTGGGGTTCAGCACCTTTGCTCTCTCCCCTTCCTCCTGCCTCCAGGAGTCTCGACACCCAAAGCCAAGACAGATGCTCTCGCAGCTGCCCATCGCTGCTTTCCAACAGGTTTAATGCAGGCCTGTGGGCCTTGTAGCTGTGGGAGCTTGGCGCTCCCTGCTCTTGGCCTCCTCTCCTGACTCTGCCTTCTGTCACTGTCAGTGCCTCAGTTAAGGCAGTGGAAGCAGCCAGTGCCAAATCAAGGGCATCTGCCCCTGTCCCGGGGGGCTGTGAGGGCTGAGATGCGGCTCCTGACCAGACCATTTCTCCTCTGCTCCCCTTAACCGCCCACTGTATACAAACTTCCCACACTCTCCAACCTGCTGACCTCTGCCCCAGCCTGCTACCACCAGCAGCAAAGCGTGGCCCTGGGGAGAAGCAGAGGTGAGGCCTGTGCTGCATGCAAAAAGGCCAGAATCTTCTCTCTTCCAGACTCAAGCTCTACATCTGCTCCACCCTCCTTCCTCTGCCCACTCTCCTGCAAGCCTCCTTCTGCTGCAGGTGGCAGGTTTTGGCTTGTGGGGTCCCCACTCTGCCTTCTCCACACACGTGTGCACACACACGCAATCTTTTCATTTCTTCTTTTTGCTTGTGTTCAGTGGTCTCCATACCCCTTGGGGGAAGAGGCTGGGGGCCTCTGAACACCTCAGGAGAATCCTAATCACACTGGAGCAGCCAGAGCTTGATTCCATCCTCAGTGATGCCTTCTGACATTTAATGAGTTAAGGAGCTAAATCCCCTTCATCTCAGGGCGGCTGAGCTTGTTGTGGTGGCTGCCGCAGGAGCCATGCATGGGGGAGGGGCTGCGCCCGGCACAGCTATATCTACACAGCCGTGCCTGCGTGTACAGATCTGCATGTGTGCAAAGCAAAGCGGGTGCAGATACAGGTTAGTGTGAGCATACGTTAATGTGCACCGGGGAACACACTCACCATGGTCACTCAGCCTGGGACTAGCCACCTACCTCCTCCAAATGGCCAGGACACTCATCACAGAGCCTAGGACGAGGAGGGCTGAGATGGTCACCACGGTGACGACAACTGCAGGGCTCTGGTCCCTGGACCCTGAAGTGACTGGGAGGAAAACCATAAAAGGTCGAAGCAGGCAGAGAAGCAGGTTCCTGGCCAGGCCCCAGGACAGATTCCTGTGCCCACCCCACAGGAAGATTCCCTCCAAACCTCTGCACTCAGCACTGCCTTCCTACAGCAGAGGGACCAAGGTGGTGGCACTGTCCAGAGCGGCACCTGGAGTGCCAGGGAGGGCGTCTCCACTACACCCCAGCTCTGAGGGAGAAGCAGGAACCCAGACAGTGGGGACAGGCAGCTGTGGGTGCCTTCAGATGGGCAACATAAGGACGCTGCACAGGGGGAACTGTCTCTGCTCAGAGCTCCCACCTCTGATCTGGATACTCACCACCAGTAATAATGAGCCAGTGTTAAACACACAGTCAACAAGACACTGTTCCTGAATCTGTTATCCTGTTTCTTCAACACAACAGCCCAGAAAACCGTTACTGTCTCCATTTACAGCAGAGGGAACCAACATTGTGAAAAGTTATGCAGTTTGTCCAAGGTCACACAGCCAACAAGTGGTGAGCCAAGATTTGAACTTGTAAAAGCTTCTGCCTGAGCCTCTGCTGTGAAGTATTTCTCCAGGACAGGTCCACAGAACCCCATCCATCTGCCCATCCATCTATCCATCCATCAATCCATCCATCCATCCATCCATCCATCCATGTATCCCTCCTTCTACCCATCCATCATACAACGTGTGAATGAGGTGGAGTCCTTGCCCTGGAGCAGTGTGCAGACCCCAGCTGATAAACAAAAATTTTAACTGCAAATGAAAAGTAGAGCTGGGCGTGGTGGCACACGCCTGTAATCCCAGCACTCAGGAAGCTGAGGCAGGAGGATCATTGCAAGTTCGAGACCAGCCTGGGCTACAAAGTGAGCTCAAGGCCAGCCTGAACTGCATAGCGAGACCCTGTCTCAAAAAGACAAAAAAGAAAAAGAAAAGAAAAGTAGAGAAGTGAACAGAGCTGAGCAGAGGCCCAGCAATTCCTTCCTAAAGCCAATGAAGAAGCTTCACAGAAGAGACACATACTGAGTCAGCCTGGAAGGTGGAAAGAGGTTGCTGATGCCTTCCAGATCCAGATGCACACACAGGTATAGAAAATGGTAAATTGCCCCTGTGGCCTGACAATAGAATACACGAGAGAAGAGGTGGCAACACAGATGCTGGGGGCCAGGGGCTGAGGGAAACTGAGGAAAAGCGGCCTGGAATGCCAGGCGAAAGAGTGGGAAGTTTATCCTGAGGGTGACAGGGAACCAGGGGACAGTGGGTAGAGTTGTGTCCTGGAGAAAGGAATAATGTCATCTTCTGAGTGGGGAGTGAGGGTGGGGCGGAGGAGTCCAGGTGTAAGCCCTGCTACCTGTAAGCCCTGCTATTTGGAGACTGAATTGGGAGGATCAGCAGTCTGAGGCCAGCTTATGCAACATACTGAGACTCTGTATCAAATTTTCAAAACAAAACAAAACAAAACAAAAAACAGGGGAAGTTCTAAGTGGCCCTGAAGACTGAACTGAGTGGAAAACCACATGTCTGCAGGCAGTCTCAGCGTGGGGCAGAAGGAGGTCCAGGTATAGGACCAGCAGGCAGGTGGACAGACGTGCAGGGTGTGCAGCCAGCAGAGCTGGGAGCATTTCTGATGGGGTAACCTGCAGGAGCTGGGCACAGGGATGGGGGTGAGCATGCTCAAAGCCTGAGAGATGAGGCAGGATCCAGAAAGCTGCCTTTCAAAAGTCACAGAGCGGGGCTGGGGATTTAGCTCAGCGGCAAAGCGCCTGCCTGGCAAGCGCAAGGTCGTGAGTTCAGTTCCCGGTACTGGAGAAAAACCAAAAAAAAAAAAAAAGAAAAGTCACAGAGCAAGTGCAGAAAAGCAGGAAAAGAAGGAAGAGTTAGAGGCCCACAAGAAAGGATCAAAAAGTGCATTTCAGAGTCCCGGCCTACAGAGGTGAACAGAGCCCAGGTCTGGCTGGCAGCAGAAGGTGAGTGCAGATGCCAAGAAGTGTCTGAAATCAGGCACCCATGGGACACAAACACAGAAAATGAAAGACAGTTGTGCCAGGCAGGCTCTGTGTGGCTGTCAGGATGATTATCAGGATGATGGCCTCCTGGTCTCCATCCCCTTGAGCACAGGCTGGATCTGGTGACTAACTTCTAATGAACAGAATATGGCAACTATGACAGGAAGCCATTTCCACTGTCAGGTGACAAGAGACTGTGGCTTTTGTCTTGGGTGCCTTCTGTCTGCCCCTCATTCACAGCCTCTGAAGCAGTCTAGTGCAGCGCGGAGCAGCCCTGCCGAGGGGCCGGCGGGGCAGTGAATGGCACACGCAAGGCACAGCAGAGAGCGCCTGAGTCAGCCCGAGGCGACAGCAGCCCAGAGGACAACTGGCTGCAGATGCCTTCCAAGGAAGACCCTGAGCCAAGGCCACTGGGTAAGTGGCACCCAAGTTCCTGACCCTCAGAAACCGTGAAACAAAACAATCCTGTTATTTGTAGCCACTGGACTGTGGTGTATTTATTATACAACCGTAAATAGCTAATGCAACAGTGATATACGATCCCTCATCAAGATCTTGATATCGTTCCTCCCCTGTAATCCCAGCACTCGGGGAGACTAAGGCAGAAGGAATGCAAGCTTGAGGCCACCCTGGGCTACACAGAAAGTTCAAGGCCAGCCTGGACTGCACAAAGAGACCTGTCTAAGAATAAAATTCTGATTTGAGGGTCACAGCTCACTGGAAAAATTGATCACAGATAGGGTGAACCAGATCCTCCCATATGCAGGGCCACAGCGAGGAGGCTGGGGTCTGAGCAGTCCCTACTAACAAAGAGGCACAGAGTGAATGGAAATCATCAGTCCTCCTCTACAGCCCCAGTCCTCGCCCCTGCCACACTCACTCCAGCTCAACCCATGGGCTTTTGTTCGCATGGCTTCCTCCACCCAGAGCTCTGCCAGTGGCCTTCCCTGCCTGTGGCCACTGGTTCAGATGTTCTCCAGCCTCCAGCCATGGTGCTAATCTCTTCCTCCCATAGCTGAGGTTTGGCACAGTCAGGCATTTGGGCATGAAGGGCTGCCTTCCTTCCCGGAACTCAGACTCTCTCAACATTTTATCTTTGCCTCCCTTTGGGCTCGCAGCTCTTCCTATCTTGGATTAGAGTCGTGTACCAGGTTGGAAAGAATTGTTATCTTGACAGCTGGTGCCAGAATGCCTCTTAGGGGGAACTGCCTTTGTTCAGGAAAATACTTTCATGAGCTGCTCCGGGTAGATAGAGGTGAGATCCTGAGGGCTGGGTTAGCAGCAGGCAGAACAACAAAAGAGGGAGCTAAACTGCTCCGCACAGACCCCTGAGAGGGAATTTGGGGTGGGTTGGGGAGAAGAGGCAGCAGGGAGGGACGCAGGGGGCAGCCGGGAAGCGTGACATTGTGGAGAAGCCAGAGATATTTTAAGATCAGGATATCTAATGTTCAGCTTCTGTTTTGTTTTTACAAGAACTGTATTGAGGGGTAATCCCCATGCCAGTCAATTGACCCATTTAAAGTGTACGATGCTTGTTTTGTTTTGCTGATTGCTGCAGTCTCACCCCCTTCATATCCCCAACCTTCAATGACATGTTTTACACATTAAGCCTGGTGGGGAAAGGGACAGGGCCCCAAGGTGGTCTATATCATGGCAGAGAACAAGAACAGAAGATCTACCTGTCAGAGCAAGAGGAGACTGTGAGACTATGAACTTCTCCCAAGAGAGAGGCTAGACTGTGGAGAGGACACAGGATGTCACCACAGACATGGGATCCACGGTCTGAGGAGGCTGGTGCTGGCTGAGGTAGGGGTCTGAGCAGTCCCAAACTCTTTTCTTGTGAGCCCCTCCAAGGCAGGCACCCCATTGAGTTCATACTGATGGATCCCAAAATTCTTAATAAATTAGGCTGTAATTCTGCTGCTTTGCAGGCTCTGGTACACACCTAACTTTCACTTTCTATGTCTTTCCTGCCTACCTCTGGGTCAGGCCCACTGAGCCCAGCCCTGCCCACGTCCTGCATACATTACTTACCCTCCCCTGGGGTCTGCACTTCAATGCTGGGGTTGAAGCTCTGGGACTCCCAAGAGGGCCCTGGTGAAGCGGCCCGGATCTGGAAGACGTAGCGGGTAGCTGGCTTCAGGTTGGTGACAGTGACCGCAGGTGTCCCTGTCTTCACCATGGAGTAAGTATGCTCACTTTGACCCTGGAGAAGATAGAGAAGTGAGGCCCAGACCCGGTGCCTGACCCGGTGCCCTCCTCTTGGGAGGAGGGTGAGAGGAAAGGAGCAAGGAGGTGGGAGAAGTAGTCTCAGGCCAGCATGGGTGGGGTGGGGGAACCTGATCATCCAGGAGACTGCAGAGCATTCTTCCATGGGATTCCCAGCATCTCTCTCCACCACAATTTTACCCCACAATCAGGGTATTCATGGCTGCGAACAGCCTCGCTCTGCCTAAGAGAAACTTTAGAGAAGTCGCAGCACCTCCTTAGGAATGACAGCCGTGTGGCCTGGTGGTCCAAGGGTGAGCTGGGCCTCAGCCCAGGCACTGGCCCCGGATCTCACAGTCTTTTTCTTCCCCTTCTGAACTGATTTTCACAAGTGTCCTGCAAGGCACTGGACAAGAGATATTATGATGTTTGTTTTGTTTCTATTTCACAGATAAGAAAACTGGGCTCAGACAAGTAAAGACTGGCCCCAGCTGGAAAGAGCAATGGCTGTTACTGATAAGGGCCTACCCACTGCCAGCAGCTGTGCTGGGCCCCCATGCTCCTACAACAACCTGGAGGAATCAGCATGTGTCTCTCCTTTCATAGGTGAGGTGCACATCAAGGAAAGGTCAGATGACACCTGACCCTGCAGGCCTGCTCTTTGCTCTACATCATCCTGCCCCAGCTCCGCTCTCCAGCACATCTGATCATGGCATGTCCTAAGGATGCTCCTCCCATCACTCTGTCCCTACCCACACCTTACTGAAGGCACCGGAAAGCACCCTCTTTCTGATACCCTGCGGCCCCAATTCTTTGGTCAAGGCATTCCCAAATTGGGATTCAGGTCAGGCCAATCATAATCTCCCATCTAGCACTTGAACAACCCCTTGAAAGACAAGAGAGGCAAAGGCTGTGGAACCTATGAGATGGGGTTGTCATGCTAGGGAGAAGAAAGGAGCAAGGGCTGCAAGCAAGTGTCTCAGCAGAAGGTGGGCTGGTAGGCAGAGAGAAGAGATGAGAAGCATCAAAGCTCCAAAGAGTCCCTGACCTCCATCCAGACTTAGTGACCCAGCAGTGCTTCACTCAGAGCCCCTTTCATATGTGCTCTTCTTTTTAACTATTTATTTATTTATTTATTTTTGAGACAGGGTTATGCTAAGTAGTCCAGACTAGCCTCACACTCATAGTTCTCTGCCTCAACCTCACAAATGCTAGGATTCTACGTGTGTACCATCACATCTACCAAGGATTGTCCTTGCCTGGCTGAGGGTTTTGTTCCTAGCAATTCATATTTCTGATTAAGGGGCTAAGAGCATCTAGCCAGCTCAGCCTTGCCACTCTTTGAGTGATCTGATCTTCAGATTTCCTTTACAGAATCCTAAGCACCTGCTGCACACTAGCTGTCTCCTAAACATCCAAGGTCCAGGGCCCTGTCCTGGCCACTCTCCACACACACATTCTCCTACTCTTCTTAGCCACCAAATCTCCCTCTCCTTAGCTCAGGCTCTGCGTTCAGACTTCAGTGTCCTACAGGCCCCTGGAATGCTGCATGAACAAAACCAAGCTCAGCATCTCGCCCCATCCTGCTCCTCCTCCTCCACTGTCCTTTATCGCAACCAATGGCACCCCATCCTGTGGGTTACCCAGGTCACGCATCCAGCAGTAAATCAGAACTTCCTCTTCCCGGTTACCTCCCCCCAACACACACACACACACACACACACACACACACAGGCACACACACGCACACTCACAGCTCTCAAGGGACTTCCACTATTCAAAAGCTATTATCTGATTCAGCAAAGAAGCCCCACTTGTCACTGAGGAGTGAGCAGAGTTCTGACACACGTAGTGCTGACACGGAGAGCTTTCACCTTAATGAATTTAATCTGCACCAAGGTGAGAAACAGTTTAACGGTAGATTACATCTCAGAGTTAAAGAATCAATTTATGGGGAAAAGAGAGTAGGCTAGGATGTAACCCCATTTGTAAAATCATGGTTCAACTACAACCATAGATTAAAAATGAATAAAGAGAAGGGGAGAATACGCCAGGCTGGTGACCTGCCTGTAGTTCCCCCTACTACTCAAGAGGTTGAGACAGGAGGATTGCTTGAGTCTAGCAAACACGGCGAGACTTTGTCTCCAAAAAAAGAGAAAAAAGTTCGAAAAATAAGCAAAAGCATCCTATAGAAAGCTATGGGGCTGGCCTTATGGAGTTTATAATATAATAAATGTTGTGTTTTATTATAATTATAAATGATGGGCTACATATACATCCTTAGTGTCTGAAATAATTTATGCTTTCACTGTTCTGGAGAGCTGTTTGACAAACATCAGCCTACTGCCCAACCTAGCAATGTGCGCCTGTGATCAGCCATTTTTGTAAAAATTGAAACAATATATTTCTGTGTTCTTTTAAAAAAGCGTTCTGCAGGTGGTACGTATAGTATTAAGCTGCACGAAATCTAGACCAGCCCTCAAAGCTCTCCGTCAACTGGAAACGCAAGGACAAAGCGGGAACACGGAGATGTGACTGGCGATGAAGGTGGATGTCACTGGAAAAGGGAAGGATAAGGAGTCCAGGGTGCCCTCCGGCGGGACAGGACGAGGAGGCTGCTCGGGAGGCTGCTGGGCAGTTTGGAAAGAAAGGAAAAGGGGCTTTTGCTGGGAGGAGGAGAAAGCAGGGCAAGCCGGGTCAGGTCGGCGGCGAGGGGCTGGCTTCCTGACGGACTCACCTTCTCGTAGTACCGGATCTCATACTCCGTGCCGTTGGCCCCAGGGGCTCCAGAGGGGATGGGCTCCCGCCACGACAGGGACACGCTCTGGGGCTCCACACGGTCCCTACGGATCTCATCCTCCTCCCAGGGTGCTGAAAGTTAAGTACAGCCGCATTTTCCAGCAGCACCCACTGCGGTGCAGGGCAGGAGAGGGCAGGGGAAGGGTGGGGCCTGGGAGGGCGGGGCGTGCAGGAATGGGTGGGGCTAAAGAAGGCTGGTGGGCGTGGCTAGTGGGGTGTGGGCGGAGCTAGGGAAAAGATTGCTGGATGCAGTCTGTGAGGCTAGAGAGCAAGGAGACCCACAGCTCTTCAACGCCTTCATCGCCTCCTAGGAGGACCCTCCTGCTGCTTGCCTACCCTACACCCAGCTTTCCTCATCTTGGTTGGTTCTAATCTCCAGATTCTTTCTATATTGTCTGTGGCTTGGAGGCACAAGAAAGCGTAGAGGCAAGAAGACCAGCCACTTAACTGTTGGAGCAAAGCACTCCACAACCTAGAAACGGAAGCGAATTATCCCAGCCCAAGAAAGAGCACATATGGAAAGCGTCATGCTCAATGGGAAAGACTGAAGACTAAGATCAGGAGAGGCTAGGATGCACTTGCCACTACTGTTCCCTATAAGTCTGGAAGTTCTGCCCAGCAACTGGCAAGAAAAGGAAACAAGGGACATCAAATCTGGAAGGAAGAAGCACGTTTAACTCTGTCAGATGACATGATCTTATAAGTAGAAAACCCTAAAGAGCTACAAAATACTTTCAGAACTGATAAATACAGAAATTACAGGATATAAAAACCAACGAATTGCATTTTACATACTAACATTGAAAAATTTAAGAGGAAATTAAGTTGGGCACAGTGGCACATGCCTACAATTCCTGCTACTAGGGAGGCTAAGGCAGGAGGATCACAAATTCAAGCCCAGCCTGGGCAATTTAGCAAGATCCTGTCTCAAAATAAAAAGAATGGGGAATGTAGCTCAGGGGCAGAGTACTCCTAGGTTAATCCCTAGTATACAAAAATAAAAAACGACACAAACAAATATATACAAAAACTGAGGGTGTATCTCAATGGGAGAGTACTTGTGTAGCATCAAGGCCCAGGATTTGATCCACAGGACAAGGAAGGAAGAAAGAAAGAAAGGAGGGGAGGAAGGGAGAGAGGGAAAAAGGGAGAGAGAAAAGAGAGAGAAAAAGGAAGAAAAACTGATTTACTATAGCCTCAAAAAGAATAAAATCTTAGAAACAAATGTAACCAGAGAAATAAAAGACTTACCAACCAAAAACTATAGAGTATTGCTGAAAGAAATTAGAGAAAATATGATAAACAGAAAGACATCCTGTATTTAGGGAGTGGAACAGTTAAGGTTAGAATGCCCTTGTTACCAAAAAAGTAATCCATAGATTCAATGTCATTCCTAGCAAAATCCCAGAAGCTTTTTTTAAATAGAAATGTGAAGAGTAGCCTCACATTCTTATGAAATCTCAAAGGAGCATGAATAAACAACACAATCTTGGGAAAGAAAAACGAAGCTGAACACTTCACACTTCCTGACTTCAAAGCATATTATAAAAGTACAGTAATCAAAACAGTATGATACAGGGCTGGGAATATAGCTCAGCAGCACAAGTGCCTGGCTGGCAAGTGCAAGATGCTGAGTTGGATTGCTGGTACCCATCAAAAAAAGTAGATACAGACATATAAACCAATGGAACAGAAGAGAAAGCCCAGAAATAAACCCTCAATATGTGGTCAAAGAATCTTCCACAAGGGTACCAAGGCTAGGCTATTGGGAAGGGACAGTTTCTTCCTCCAGCAGTGCTGCGCAAACTAGATGGCCACAAGCAAGAAGAATGGAGCTGGACTTCACCTTACGCCACATACAAACGTTGATTCAAGATGGATTAAAGACCTAAATGTAAGACTGGTGGGGGCATGCTTTATGAGATTGGATTTGGCAATATTTTCTTAAACATAACACCAAGAGCATAGGCAATAAAAGCAAAGATAGATGAACAAGACTACAAACTTCAAAGCCTGTGCACAGCAAAGGTAAAAATAAAGAGGTGAAAGCATGACCTGCAGAACAGGAGACAATATTTGCTAATCATGTAACTAAAAGTTAACATCCAGACCATACCAAAAAAAACTCCTGTAATTCAATAAGGAAGAAACAACTCAAAAAATGTGCAAAGGTCAGGCACAGTAACAATGCCTATGGTCCAAGCCACTTGGGAGGCAGAGGCAGAAGGATAACTTGGGGCTAGGAGTTCAAGGACAGCCTGAGTAACATAGAAAAACACTGTCTCAAAACCAAAGGAGCCAGTTGAGCAGAACTCGGGAGATTGAGACAGGAGAATCATTCTGAGTTTGAGGCCTGCTTGCACTCTGTAGTGAGTTCAAGGCCAGCCTGCACCACATACTGAGATGTCTCAACAAACACACACACACACACACACACACACACACACACACACACACACAGAACCAATCAAGGTGGCACCAAGCTACTGAAAAGGCTGAAATGGGAGAATAAGAGAGTTCAGCATGGGCAACTTAGTGGGGCTCTGTCTCAAAATAAAATATAGACAAGGGCTGGGGTGTAGCTCAGTGTAAAGGCCCTGGGTTCAATCCCCAGTAAGAGAAAAAGAAGAAAAAGAAGGAGGAGGAGAGGAGAGAGAAGAGGGGGAAGGAGAGGAGTAAGAAGAAGAGAAGGAAGAGGAGGAAAAGGAGAAGAAAGAGGAGGAAGAGGGACCAAAACACAGGCAAAGGGCCTTTTTTTTGAGTGGTGTAGGAACGGAAACAAGGTCCTCACACACGGAAGTCATCTTTTTTAAGATAACCGCTATTAAAACAAACAAACAAACAAACAAACAAACCAGAGAAACAATCTAGGCATGGTGGTGCATGCCTGTAATCCCAGCACTCTAGAAGGCTGAAGCAGAAGGATTGCAAGTCTGAGCTCACCCCAGGCAATTTAATGAGAACCTTTCCAAAATAAAAAAAGAGCTAAGGATGTAGCTCAGTGTGAAGTCCCTGGATTCAATTCCCAGCTCCCAAAAGGAGAGAAAGTAGAGAAAAGGCTGAGAGAGGAGGGGAGGAAAATTAAGTTGGCAGAACTCTTGTGTTCTGTGGGTGGGAATGTGGTCACTCTGGAAAACAATATGGAGATCCAAATGAAAACTAGATAGAATCCCCATGTGGTCCAGCAATCCGATTTCTGGACTATATCCAGAAGAACTGAAAACAGGTCCTAGGAGATATTTTCGCATCCATGTTATTTGCAGCATTATTCACAGAAGCTAAGAGATGGAAACAACCTATACGTCCACCAATGGATGGATGGATAAAGAAAATAAGGCATATCCACATAACATACATAAAAAGAAAGCTCCTGCCATATGCTGTATAACATGGATACAGCCTAAAGACATTCCCCTGAAATAAACTTGTCACAAAAAGATAAACACTGCACTTTTAAATATAAGGTATTAAAGTAGTCAAGCTCTTAAACAGAAAGCAGAATGGTGGTGGCCAGGGAGACAAAAGAGGGCTGTACAATGGGTTGAGAGTTTCAGTTAGCAAGATGAAAAAGGTCTAGAGATCTATGCACAGCTATATGCATATAGTTAATACCACTGTGCCCTTAAAATTGGTTCAAATGGCAAGATTTATGTTATGTGCTGTGGTTTTGTTTTTTTTGAGACAGGGTTGCACTATGCAGGTCAAGATAGACTTGAACTCACTTTGTAGCCCAGGCTGGCCTCGAACTTGCAGCAATCCTCCTGCCTCAGCCTTCCAAGTGCTTGGATTACAGGTGTGCACCACCATACCCGGCTTGTTATGTGTTTTTATCATTACAAAAATACTGATGCCCAAGTCACATCCCAAAGTAATTAAGTCATAATCTTCATAAAGCAAGGCTGAGGCATTAGGATGTGTAATTTTAAAGCTTGTCTGTAAGTCCAATGCACAGACAAGTTTTAGAACTACCAGTCTAGATTATGTCCAATGAATAGCAATACAAACACACACACACGCACACACACATGCACACACAAGAGCCTTGGGTCAGTGGGAGCAAAAGTCACAGCTCCACTTGGATGAGTGAGGTGGATCATTTCCAAGAGCAGAGGTTGAGTGGTGAGGGCTCAGAAAAGGTGTCTGGAAAGGAGGTAGAGATTCAAGAGCCATGAAAGGTGACCAGATGGAACTGTCTGGGGGAAATATGTGGAAGGGCAGAGAAAACATTGAGGAAATAACCCTGAAAAACAGCCAGGTGAGGCAAACGGTATGTGATGGTGCCCAACTGTAATCCTGGCACTCAGGAGTCTAAGCTTTGAGGATTGTGAGTTCAAGGCCAGCCTGGACTTCACAGCAAAGCCCTGCCACAAAGCACGCGCACACACACACACACACACACACACACACACACACAAATTCACACACACACATATACTCATGGGGGCACAAAGGAAAGGCACTGGGGGAGGCGAAGGGGGCACATAGGAAGAATTAAGATGTGCTATATACGCACACCAGCTCCCTATACAAATGTCATCATCATGCACTGCAAACACGGGCCAATAAAAATGAAAAGGCAGAGTCAGACAGAGAATGGAAGGAAAACTGGGCCTGAACAAGGTCATAGAAGCCAAGGGAAGAGAATATTGAAGAATGTGTGAAATGGAAACAACACAAGACAAACTTACTGTGAGATTCTGGGATGTTTATGAAGGGCTGAACATTATACCTAACGTGGGTCAAGCTCTCAATAGGATGCAAGGTGACCAACGGAAGGAACCAGGGTAGCAGCACCACAGGTCTAGAAAAGACCGGGTATGGGGATGTGTGATGCCTGCTGGCCGTGACAGTGAGGGCATTGCCGGAAGTAGATATCAGACAGCCATGAGGCAAGAAATGCAGGCAGGCTACAGAGGCTGCACTCAGGGAAAAATGCTTGCCTGTGGTTTCCAGTCCTGAGTGCTCTCCTGCTAGCAGCCCTCACCTCAAGACTCTCCCAAATTGCACCTAAAACATGAAACTACAGAAAGAGTTGAAAATCTACCATCTCACCATAAATGAATCTCGACAGC